ATAGTACGGCTTTAAGACGAATTTAGGCTCGCCAAAGCACCGTAGCACGTGTGCAAAGCACGTGGCAATTCCATCTAACCCCTTTTTTAACCTCTTATTAATTTGAAGCACTAATAAGTTCCAAAAGGAAGTAATTTTTTAAAAATTTCTCCTGTGAGAGGTGAGGTACAGGTGATTCTCGATTAAGGTCTTAAGCAGGAACGGAGGAATATGCCTTCTAGTATTTTAGGCAAATTTTGATTTCGTCCTTTATGTATCAATTTTACCCATTCAGTTAATTCTCCTCTCTCCTATAATCCGTAAACTATTACATTTTAGTATAGAATCACCCTTACCTTACATTGGACCGTTCATGGGAAAATTGTCTCCGTAAAACTATGTGCACGTATTTAAAAGTGCACACGAATACTGTGATTTCTTCAAGACTTGTGAACTTCTGGAGATGCATAAAGGCTGAATAAGACGCGACATAGTGTGTGAACAATCAAGTGGATCTCCTCTAATGGTTAGATTAATTGTTGCTCTTATTGTCGCAAGAAAGGACACACGACAGGAGGAGGAGGAGGAGGAGGCTTAGTAAGAGGGCTTCTTTCGTAATCACTGAGCGCCTCTGTCGGCAAGTACATTTCGCTCGATTGTCGACTGGTGCCTAGTACTTATGACAGTCTCAATAAAAGTTGATTGATGCTGCAACATCATACTGCCTTCAAGCTCTCGCCTAAAAGCATGGTGTATTGCACTCTAGTATATAATTTCACTTAAAAATATTTGGTGTGCAAATTTGTTAATAGTGTAAATGGTTATTTATTAGATAATAAGTCAGATAAATATGTATGGGTGTATTTCCACGAGTAGTAAGACATTGGAGGGCACTAAAATGAGGGAAAGTAGGGAAAGAAAGAAAATGAGAAAGGGGTTATTCATGTTTTGGTTCAGGTGGACAATTTTGCTGTCTTTCAACTGCCGCCGACCACAAGTCGCCCTGACAGATAGTAGCAAAGAGCCGGTCGATGTGGACCGTTGAAAAAATGTGTTCTGTGACCGCTGCAGTGTCTTCCTCACTCATGCGCCGAATTTTCACATTACACAGCTTGCATTCGTTCCCCTCGAGCAGAAACTGTGATTCGCTTTCTGGTTGGTGAAATGAGGCCTCGCTGCAGATGGCCGTTGAACGTGCCAACTTCTTCTTCTTGGCACGCTGATTTTGAAACCACACTTGTACAACTCGTCTGCTGAGACCGATTGCACGGCCAATGTTTTCACACTCACAGATAGTCGGAGTCTTGTGGTGTTGGAAAAACCACTGCATGAATCGCGCCTGAGTTGAGCTAATGCTTGTGCGGTTTCGTCGGCAAAAGCTATCCGACCTTGTCTCATTGGCACTAGCCGCACTACCCGCATGAGGGCTGAGATTTTGTAAGGTGGATGATTGATAGTCATTGGATCTGTAAGAAACAGTGGATAGGTCAAGAGGAGAATCCATTTCGTAGTTTTCGGAAGACTGTGATGGTAGCTGTTGGGGTATTGACGTTACTGGTGGTTGTATAGGTGCTGATGCAGGCGGCTGTATAATACCCAGAGGAGGCATCTGAGTAAGGATTTGGTTGAAAATCTGTTGCAGCTTATCTACGGGTGTCTGCTCAGGCAAAGTGTTTGTGGAATTTGCACCTGAAACCAAGCACTTCAGCTCGTTAAACGGTGACTCTTGAGCGGAAGCTTCCCTAGGTTGCCATAAGGGAGTCGTAAAAGGTAGTAGAAGCAAATTTGGCTTCGATGATTGTGAGTGATATGGTGCATACTTGATAAACATTCGACGCTCCCTGGATCTGGCGTTCTGGAACCATACCTATTTAATAAAAAAGTTAAAATGTTGTAAGTTAAAAATTGAATGGCTTATAGATTCACTATTCCTCAAATATCATGATACTGTAACTAGTATTATTAAAGTTAACTTTAAGGCACTGTGAATGGTTCCACTGAAACATATTTTTTGGACTACAGTATATTTCTAAGTAATACAATTATTTTTAAAGTAAAATATTTGCACTCTTCATCTATTTCATTACCTTCCTTGGGAGCTTCCCAATCTCAGAAAAATATCGCAATTTACTTAAATTAGATCCAGTCTTTCTCTCTTGATGCCTTCGGCAAATAAACTTAGGTCTTTAACAAAGTGGGAATACACTTACCTGTACAACGCGTTTTGGTAAATTAACTTCGCTTGATATGATGTCCATTTGTCTTCTGCTAGGATTTTGATCAGCCTGGAAGTATTGCAAAAGTACAGCCTGCTGGATTGACGAAATGGGTGTTCTGAATCGCTTTGTAGATGTTGGTTTCGTGCTACGTCCCACCGATCGCACCTCGTCTGAGTGTTCAGTGGCGGATGCTTGATTAATGGGAGGTTGAGGAATGTCTAAATTAGAAGAATCTTCCTTGAATCTCTGTCGCCCCTTGAACAGCGTGCCACGAAACCAGTGTTTTACAGCTTTTTCTTCCAATCCTGTCTTCTTGCAAATCTCTGCAATCGTTGCTTCAGTTATTTGATTTGAGCTACAGAAACTGGATCGGAAGACTTCCAAATGATTTACTGATAATCGAGTGCGCCCACCTTTCATCAGCGGCAGTTGAAATTGTTGTGGTTGAAGGGCGCGAACAACCTCTATTACCGTGTTTTCCATCTTCTTAACAGCCTCGAGAACTAAGGCGGGTAATTCATCGTTATGGTGAATGTTGAAGTGAAGACTCGTGGATGAGGGAAGTAGAAACGATCGCGGGGGGGAACACTGATGGCAGGTGCTGAACGCTTGCCGCTGCTGTAGCTCTCGCAAATCCAGAAACCGTCCCAAAACATTAGGCTGCTGCGCGATGAGTTCAAGAATAAAAGCAACAAATTCATCAGACATATTGCCATCCATTTGAGGAAACTGATGCCTTAGCCAACTTATTAGGAAAGAGCAGAGAGTATTGTCTGCACCAAACCAAGCAAAGAGGCTATCGCATGTTTGTGGAGCACTAGTTTGCTCCTTCTGTTCATCAATGAACCTCGCGAGTCCTTGAAGCAGTTCAGAGTTTTGCAAATTGACGCAGTTCAACCACGAGGATAGTGGGCTGGTAGTGATGTGCATCCTGCAGAAAAGTGATGAAATACGGTCGTCAGAGTGCGCATGCGCTAGTTTATATTATGAAAGGAGAGGGTGGCGTCGAGACAATTTTTCCCAAAAGGCTGTCAGTCGGACAGATTGATAATCGACATGCCTGACACCTTGTGATTGGTGAATGAAGTTTATCATCAGTAGATGCGAAAATGTGTGTCAAAAACTGCCACATTAGCAAAGACTGCGTTTTTCGCACATCATTGCCCTCATGATGTGGCAATTACCGCGTAACCATAGCCGAAGGGTAGAAATATATCAGCACAAATTGGCGCATATCACATTAAACCTTGGGATAATATAGTCCGCATAGCATCATGAGAAACGGGTAATTCTCTTGTTAAACAAATACCTTTTCATAGTTAGCAGGCACTGTCATTTTTTAGTCACCAGTGCATCATGTTTTTGTTGAAAACAGGCATGTTTGCATTGAATTCATTTATATCCCTTAACGCGGTCCTAATGTTACAAATAACTAGACCATTACCTATCAAGATTCATCCGTGTCACTGTTTTAGAAAAGTTGTGTACAAATATTCGACTTGATTTCCATAGCGCTGCCCATTTACACAACTTCAATAATACTAAACAACTTTTCAATTTCACATTAATTTACTCAAATAAATCCTTGTTCCGCGCGACCGCATTAAGTTTGTGAACCCGGGTTAGGAAAGGAACATTTATAAATTCTGCCGTACCTATTAATGGAATATATGATTATACTGACAAAGGTTAAGCTGTGTCTTCACCCTAAAATTGACTTACGACTCTGTTAAAATAGAGTGGATCAGTTTATCATTTCGTTAATGAAAAGTAATCTTTTTTTCTGACTGCTTGCATAAAGTAATTTATTTATTAGATCTCTTTGGAGTAGGTGTAGGATCAGTTTCATGTATGCATTGGTTAGCTGTATGACCGGCTATAAACCCTTTTACAAAGAAAACAAACCCTTGTCCTTCTCAAAAATACCTAAGCGTATTGTGAAGTTTGTCTTCCAATTAAAAAAAATATATATAAATAATTTATTTGCATAAATGTAGAATTGAGATGCACATCGTGTATTCATCGCATAACTATGGTGCATACAATCATTAAAGCAAAATAATTGGAAAAACATCCCAAGGAACGACTTTAAAGAGGGGCATTTTAAGTTTCAGGTAAAGTTACAGTTAGCATGAAACAGAGGAGGACAATGAAATATTGAGACTTACGATTCAGCTGAGTTGAATGGTGAAATGAGCTATTAAACTCATGAGGTGGCAATATATTAGCACACCATGGTGCTCGCGTGTTTCAACGCGCTGTTGCTACCAGAATAGTACCGCTTCTGAAGGTCTAAGATATGCCACCATTAATTGGTATTTGCCAATTGCCATGCTCTAGACATGCATGGATGTGCTTTCAAAACAGGGTAGACAGGAATGGGGAATCGTGAAACAGACAAACTTTTTTCCCTCCAGACGTGACTTTCCTTTCCTTTCCATCCGCACAATCGGTGATGCAAATGAGCCCACTCAAGTGACAAACCACTATCCACTGCTAAGTTCGATATATTTTTATATAATTTTGACGCATTAATTGTATTGATAAAATATCACCTATTCTATTTGGACATGCTTTGTGAGGTAGATAATCTACAAAAGAATAAAGTATTGTAAATAGCTATAATAGCGCATAATATTTTGTACGTTTTAGCGGTGCAAAAGGGTGATGTTATTAAAAGCTAGATGGTTTGGTATTCCACGCCTACCTTTAGCCGGTTTTGTAACGTGATTCATTCCTGGATGAATATACTTCTGTATGTGTAATTATTATTACTAATCTCCGGCTTTATTAATCGTATTGCAAATATATATGTCTCCAATTTATAGTAGAAAGTACCCAAATATTTCTCAAATTTAGTTCATCAAATCTTTTTTATCACTACTATCAACCATTCTATGGTATTGAAAGGGCGATTTAGCTTTTACACAATTCGCGTATGCATCTACGAACGAAATCAGGTTAATCGAGTGAGGCATTATGAGATTGATATTTCATTGAGAGCCTTCCAACCACGGCAGAGACCGAAAGTATGGTTTCAAGTTGTATGAGGGGTATCAAGTGGACAGGTTATGCAATCAATCCTGTTGGTACGTAAGAGTTGGCTCACATATGGATTTTGTCAAGAGATGTAAGCCACTCTTACAAAATGCTTGTTTGGGATCAGGTGCAAAAAACTAACACCAGTGCGTACTGAGACCAACTGTTGTGCTCCCTTTCCAGTCAACTGGAATGGTGAGGTACTTAATGCTTTTTGCATACTGTGGTGTGGGATATAAATGCAACATTGTCTGATTTTATGCATTTTTGAGAACAAAGCACAGAAGCAGTCAAACACGTTTAGAGACAGTTAGAGGTTAGAGCGTGCTCTAATTGCTACACTTACTACTGATGTGATTCGTGTTTGTCTCATGGAATTACTAAAAAATATTATCAGCATCATATTAGGTTCTGATATTATAACCTCACTTAAAGCATATTTATGTACGCCAAAGTCAGGAAACGGCAATTCTATTCATTTACTTTCAAGTGACATTAAACCACCATCACCACCTTATCTTGTTGGATCATTTTACAACAAGAGCAAACCCTGAACTCTGCCTGTTGTCAGTAATCTCAGTAAAGTTACAATTTAGTCAGATATGGGTTTTTAGATCTTTACTCAATTTTACACACCACGCTACTCCGATAATTCAACAAAGCGAGTTCTACGCCAATTCATTTTCATGCATTCTTTAGTAAAAGTTTATCAGCTTTCAAATCCGAGGCTTAATTTAAATACTTTTGTATCGGAAAATCTTTATTCTATTATCAAAAAGAAAATGCATCAGAAATTTAATTAAACAGTCATAAATACTAAGTTTAACGGTAATATTTTATTAGTCAGATTAACTGATAAGTTTGTTTTATGTTGAGGACAGCTCTGCCGACCACATTTATTGTTCTTTTTATATATTTTTGTTTAACTGACGAAGGAACTCACTTTGTGTATGTGTGGTTGAGCTGTCGAGAATATTTTTTCACACAGGGCAAATGCAAGTACATAAATAAACTTGCAGCAGTCGTGGAGACGCTACTTCTAATCAAAGAGCCGCCGATCAATCCAATTATTTTGACAAATGAAATTACTGTGGTCATCTGTCATAGGACTCAACTCACTGATTGGTACACAGCTGACACCGAAATGACTCATCGTTTCAAAGGCTACCGCCGGCAATGGGGGAATGCACATGGTATATTTAAAAGACAAGCCTTTCAAATGACCTGATGTAATCTGGCATAACAACAGCTTTTCATTAAAATCCCTGAGAGAGTTTATAGAAAAGGGTTCTGCGTCACAAGCAAACTTTGTGAGTAATAACGGTGCCACAAATTCTTCGTTCTACCATTCAATAACTTTTCCAATGAGATAATTCCCGAGAAGTGCACTATTCTTCTTCAAACAGGAATTTTTATTTCAAATCAAAGCTTTTTCAGTACACTTAAGTATTACTTATACACCCACTTTCGATGCTGGCGTCACAGGACGAGACTTCGAGCTTAAGGTACATTAACAATGATTTTCCCATCCTACCATTCATTGTCGAGAAAGTGGTGCATAACACATGCTCCACTATCAGATGACGTTACAATAATGAATAATTTTGCCAGGAATACTAAAACCTCTCTAAAGGCTCAATTAAAGCACTCTTCAAAATGCCGACAGAAATTAATAAGTATTAACACCTTTGCTCCTAGTAATGGAGTCTGTGTGCGAATTCACCAAACACGATTCATGAAAATCATACAGAGACTCACAGACTTCTTTTTTAACTACCTTGACCGGGACAAATGTCACCCCATATCAGAGTCTCAGACGTCATTAAATAGACTGAAAGAAGAATTCACAGTTGAACATGGAGATTACCTCTACCTCGCTTGCTACATAGTTGACTGTTCCGAGCTCATTGCCCAGCATCATTTAGGTACCAGGAATATTAATATGACTTTGTGCAAATGAACATTCTTCCTTAGGTTTTTTATGCTGGTACTTTAATGTCTTTAACATTTTGATGTTAGGGCTGAAAGTGCTGCGTTCCGTAGACGAAAGCACTTTAACATCAATGCGCCTATTACAATGTGTGCGAGCCCTAATTGAAAATGACCCGCTGCAAAGCCATGGCCTAAGTTGCGTATCCGACTTTTCGAATTTACAGTGTCAAACCCTAACAAGCATTTCAGAAGCAATAGATATAATACAATAACTTAACTTTAATGGTTAAAATTTCGTTTGGTCGAGGACTCCGTTAGTCATTTTTAAGTGAATATCATTTGGAGCCCATTACAGTCTTTAACTGTAACTAAAGTGACTCTTAAGAGGGAAAAGTGATTAGGTATTGCCGGCATTCCCAAAGTTGACTTCACTAATGGGTCTTAATGAAATGGTCATCTGATGATGACCACACAGGCCTCTTTTCCCAACTTAATCGCGTAAACTACTGAGACATTTCGCTTGAGCTGCTCTTGCCCCAAATTAGACTACGACAGGAATGAAGACGTATGAACTGCAATGGATGCGTAAGTTGAAATCAAAAACCGAAATTTGGCTCAAGATTGTTACCTATTAAAGGCTCTCAAGTAAAAAATTTTGTCACCGCATTTTTCAAATTCAGTAATTTGTTGGTGTTCGTAGATTCTCAGGCATCGAGGAGGTTATTAATCAGGATAATGGCATCAAGAGGCGATGGCTCTAGACTTACCTGCAGTGCGCGTTCTCGCCATCTGTCAGGGTCTGACAAGTTGCACCGGCTAGTAGTGACTGCGGCATCTGAAATTTCAATTTAGACGTCGTAGTAAGTAGTCAGAAGAAGATGTGCCCTGTTTTAGGTTAACAAACAGGGCATATTTTTTTGCCAAAATAACATAATAGGACAAACAATGAAAACGTTTGTTATTCCATTCTTACTAAGAGGTATAGTTGAGATTCTTGTCCTATTAAAACTTGCCTACTAAGAACAGTGAGTTCTTTGAAGGGGATGATATTACAGTTTAATTGCCTGAGCTAACTTAAATCAACACCTTAGGCGATTTGTTTGATATCAGTTTTCTGTTGTTCATTACACATGCAATACCTCGATGGTACCCCAAAAGCTGATACCGCTTTTTGAACGGTTTTCACACGAACCATCTCGCCTAGCCTCAAATGTCAGCGTGAGAATCATTGTGACAGGCATAATTATCATTTGCCGAGATATGGATTGTGTGATAACACTTTTGCTACTTTGGTCTAGTAAGACCCTTGGGTAACATTTCTAGGATTAGAGATCACAGCACATTGCTTACGCTAGTAACCATTTATTGCATCTCATGTAGTGGCTCTCTCAAATTCCTCCAATTTCATGCCCATCATCGTGATATGCTGTATAAAGAACTGGAGTATTAAACTGGAGTATAAAATTTGATAAACTACTTTAGAGTGAATAGTACGTACAACTCGAAGGCGTCTCTCGTTTTATTGGATTGTAAATGGGAAACGGCACTTGTTTTTGGCAAAGCAATAGCTGTCTAAGATCTTTCACCAGAATTCAAGAGACTCTTATGTGGTGAGTCTTTTACTAAAGAGGTAGGTTTTCATGTAACAGGAACCCTCAACAATTAATGCTAATCCGAAGGGTGTGTAAACATGATCTATACATTCCCATCAGCTACTTACTTGAGCATCATTCATAGCTGACACGTTGCCACCGTTGTCGTATTCAATGCTCCTTTTTCTGCTGTGAGAAAAATGAAAGGAAAGCTATTGATTAGACCGTTCTGTGAAGTTGAAAAGCGAAAAATCAGTTGACCATTCAATCTAATGCTAATTAAAATCCCAAGTAAGTACAAGCCAAAGACGGTGTTCAAAAACTCTGCCTTTCATTTAAGAAATTGGATCACACATTAACCTGCGCAGTTATTTTTGCATCCAGTTCCCACTTTATCATATGCTAATCCTTTTACTAATACTTACTTCAGTATTGTTTTTGTATTTAGTAGAGGTGGCATTTGAACCATATTTGGCCATCTGTCTGTAAGGCAGACAGGTGACTGTTGCTCCTCCTAAATACAAGAATGCGGTCACTTCACTCCACCATGTCCACTGTTTTGAAGATAGAATGTCGACTTGTTTTTTTTAAGTAAAATGTATATTACGGAATGTTTGACTTTACAGAATGAATCGTGCGAAGCATAGACGACACTGCTCCCGTAATGTACAAGTTGGTATATTTTATAGCCAAATTTTTCCCCAAATGTGTGCGCATACACAATTGTATGTCCGTACTTTTTGGCCTACTATAAGGGCATTCAAGTATAATCTTTTCAGTAATGTCAAGTGGCTGTTGCGAACTGTTTAACGGAAAGTCAGCTAACGATAGTTTGGTCATTCACTCCATGGTTTAATGATCCGTAACCACCAAATTACATTATGAGGTCCTATTTTTACACATACAACTCATAACAAACACTCCCAACTTCATAAAAGATTTATAAATAAACTAAAGCATGCCTTACCTTTGATCAGAAGTGGACGAGAATTCAGCATTGATTGTCGGTGGAGCCGAATGTCTCCGAATCCTGCTTCCTTCGTCATCCAGTGAGGTGTTTAACACTAAGATTGAGTTCGACTTATATTTCGGCAATCAAAAACTTTTGAAAATCTGAGTCATATATTACTTACCTATCGAATTGAATCGCCGTAGATTAAACTTTTTCGACACTGTCTCCTGAAAGCAAATTAGGGCTTGATTGACACGCAACCTATTGATACTACTTAAAAATTGTCCGACTCTAATGCACTGATGAGCAAACGCGTACGGGATTACGTTCAATTCATGGTCCATCAATATGACTGAAGCAAGTTCAGTTTGATTGACAGTTGTTTGGACATGTGCATACCGCTTCTAAATGGCATATTTTCACATAATAAGTGCATAGAGTATTGTTTACATCCAAACAACTTTGTGATATGCTTTAATTAAGCATAATTAACGATGTGTAAGTCAAAAAAAGATGTAAAGTACTTTACCACCATTTTAGAAGATATTGACTGCTATAAGTAGTTCTGGCCAATTGCCCGTCCCAATTTAGAGTGCTACTGAACCGTGTTACTGTAACTAATGTCAAATTCGAAAAAGGTACATCCATAGTATCCTTATCAACAGGTTAAATGAGCTTCTGTAACTGGATAGGTTAAAAAATAGATAGATGTCCTGATGGAGACTATTGCTGGTGGCGAAATTATGTTGCACCTTACCACAATTTTAAATGCACTGCCTATAGATTAGATAATGACAACTGTTTGAGTAAATGCTATCTTCATCCTTCGTCTGTCCAAGTTCCAATTTACTGCTACTTACATGATTATTGAGGAGTGATAAAGTCTTCAGCCAATGATTGTCATGGTATTCCCCTGTATTTTTAACTGGAAATTGAGTACATATGGAATGCTTTGATTATTTAACTCTTCGTTTTGGTTCGCGGGCTGTCAAAGCCACACCTTTGTACTTCCCCTGGATGGAATGGCCCTCAGGCCATGCCGGTAGCCCAATGATACCAGTACTCCGTCATCCCTTTGTACGTTGATAGTACCCACTCCGCCTTGGTATTGCCTTCTTTCGTTTCAGGGCAGTTTCAGACCACTCAAGTGCGCTTGCGAAGCACTAACAATCTTACTTCATGTACGTATATTGTTAGGAAAGCTTTCCCTTCGGTATGCGTAGGTACATTTCCAAGTGGGACATATATTTCAATATGAGACTGCAAAAACAACAGAAAATTGTCCACTTACATATTTTTCTGATTCGTTACTGTTATTTGTATCCTTCATTTTACGTTTTAGTAATGTAAACTTAAACTTGTTTTGACCAACCCGCGAAATCAAATGCAGATAAATTAAACGATTAAAGTAGTTTAGACCAACAAATACGACAAAAAGTAGCACTGATAGTCCTGTAAATGAGTAAGCTGCATTTTGATAAGTGCATCACAAATAGTTATGTTTGTCGCGATCAACACTAATAGGTTATTCTCCTTACGATATCGTATTTTCCCATTTAAGCCCAGTTGTATTTAAAAAGTGGAAGAAACCCATGAAAAAAAGGTTAAAGTGCGGGTTTATTTAGTGTTTTTAGCATCAACTGTTTAATTAGTAGGTCTTGCAAATAAATTATCAAATCATTTGCAGATAAGCTGGGTTTGAAGAGGGCTGACAGAGTAACTAATGCGTGCCTCTCTCTTGAGTAGACTTGTATCGTCTGTTGCAGACGTAAAAAATGTATACATTCATAGATTGCTTTAAAAGTAGGAAATGCTCACGCATACTTACTTCATTTTCACATCGAGTTGAGAATGAAAATGGTGATCCAGTGTAGGCAATTGAGTCACCTTCAGCTTCCTTTCCGCATGTATCTGATTCTGAATTACGGAAAGTCGGTAGACTTAGCTTCACATTCTACGTGCTGATACACTCCCAATTATGTTGATTTTGTGGCAGAATTGGCATGGTTTAATTAGGCAAATTCTTCGAATCCCGTTTCTTTAGCCAACGAAAAGATAAAAGTAACGTTATTATACGGCGGTTCCACTGATATACGGTGAACATAAAATGACAAAATATGCAATCCTCAAACATTTACGTAGTCAAAAACATGGTTCTTGTCATTCAACCTCATTTGACCTACGTTAAGGTGGAGTTGGGTTGGAGATGGAGGTACTGTTTTAAAAATCCTGTGCCTCTCCTGGTATCCACTTCCACAATATGCATTCCCTTTTTAAATGGTCATCATGCGACTATTTTTGTAAAAAAAGCTATAGTGTTTTCTCATGCAAAGCCTTTTCAATGAAATGGGACGTGATCTATTAAGTTTACGAATGCGAATTATCCTCCCTTTGATCCATACAAATTCGCAATTTGCCATTTTTCACTTTCCAAATATGCCATAGGTCAATTTAATTATTTTTCTCTAAGCACTCTGTGAGCTTCCACATTTTGTGGTCACGTTTGCGGCCATCATGACAACTTGGGGTAATTCAACTTCTATTTCTTTTGCCATCAGAGGTCGTGAGTCCCCAAAATACTCACCTCTTGTATCTCCACTTTGAAGCAATTGTGGTGTTTCTGTCATTGCTGCAAAATGGTTCTGCATTTCACTCTCTCGACCAAATTCCCAGACCACAGCTACATATTCCGTTTCGGAGGGGTACCGCCTGAGAGAATCCTAAATTTTCATCAAAGTATAGGCTTTGATAAAATAGCGTTTCATAGTTTTTTTTTTAGTTACAGACTTAAAGATAAGACTGTTCAGTGCTTTACTGTGATCCTATTGCGATCTCAAAGGTGTGTTGTCTGCAGGCTCATTTATTTGCCGAAAAGTAGTTAGCTTAATTTTCATATGCTATACGCACTGGTGTAATTGTTAGGCCTCAACTGAACAACTCGGTTTTAACAAGCCATATCATCCAGTTTATCACTAGAAATTATTAATGGGCTAAAATTTTTATGGTGTTTAAGATTTTTAGGTGTTATTAAACGCTGCCTTAAAAGAGCATACGTGAAAGTCCGCTGACTGAAAGTGCTGCATTAGTCCCGTCAAAGAAGTGAAGGTCATCTCACATTTGCGACACGCATAAATCACTCGCGCACCGTTCATGACACTCCCTCCATCAGAAGCCGTCATAAGTGACAACTTCAACTGACTCCGTCTCCTGACTACAGCGCCAAAGGCGCTTGCGAGAAAACCGTGCATTGGCGTCTGACAATGAACGCGCATTTTGTGCACAGAGCACGTAAAGAAACCACAGGGTAGACAGCGTAGCTGGCAGTACACGCTATTCTTTGAAGTGGAAGAGAGAAGGAGGTCATTGGTGGGGAGGGATGCACCCAGTCTTCCTTCCTTGCCCTCCCACACATGTAGGAGGAGGCTCAGCCGCTGTGCGTGCTTCTCTGTTTTGCAGTGGAGCTGAAAATTTGCCTTCAGAGGACTCCTATATGAGCATAGATTGCAGTGCCAGGCTCCCGATGTGTGAGTGGTCAGCTGTTGATTGGCCAAATCAAGATTTTTGGGGATGCGGTTCTGCTCTGCGTGACTGATCAGCTCCTCTACACTGTCTGTTCCAAAGACACCACAGATCTGACAGAAGAAAGTGTGGTCAGCCACTTCGAGAAGGTCGGTACTGAAGTCGTCCATTGGGCAAGTGCCACCTTTCTGGCTGAAGACTTCAAGGAAGGCAAGATAGGTCTGGGGGAATAAGCTCATAGTGGGAGGTGAACTCTGATTTGCTGATGCTGGTGGATGGCTAACTGATGAGTTTACGCTATCCTGTTCACTGGGTTTGTGAACACATTGTAGTTTTTGGTGTTGATCATATTCCTGTAAAAAGCAGCAATAAAACCTTTCAGTCAGGTCACATTTCTCGTCAGCTTAAAAACACACCGAATATTTTAGCAAAGATTGTGGTTCTACATACATGTGTTATAATAAGTAATTAGCAATTTGGAAATCTATATTTTTTTTACTAAGGTTTATTGCATCAATGATAGAGCTAATTTATTTAACTGTAAAGAATCTAAAATTTTTAAGGTGTACTTCCATCATATGCCTCCTATCTGATAGAGCATTCACCTGTACGTTGTTCAAATGTCTGTCAGACTGCTCATGAATTGCCAGATTGCCCTTGGTCACGGTTGAGTAATTGCAGATTTCGCAGCGATAAGGTTTGTACCCACAGGCGTACGATTCGCCTCTTCCCAGGCGCGGGTGCAGAACTTTCGTCAGACAGTAGATGCAGCCGCTGTTTCCTGTCTCCATTTCTGGAATTGCTGGTGGGGATACCATTACATGCGCTCTCTCAGCATTGAAGTTGGCAACTGAGGGTTCGACCATCGGAAGGTTCATTATGACTTCCTTTCGCACTCTGTGAATAATCAGAATGCCTTTAACTCACCATTTGTCGTTGAGTGTGATTGATTGTGGTGTAACTAAGTAACCAAACTTCTCATCAAACTTCTCATTGCTCATCAAAGCAATGTTTCTTTAAAGTGAAAAATTTGAAGAATTAAAATGTAAGCGTAATTTGCTTGGCCGAAGAAAGCACTCATGTTTGTATAATTACGAAACTGACTTGCACCGACAAATTTGAAGTCAAATTTACACTCGGCAATTTCTTATATGGATATGATTTTTGCTATCAGTAAGACGTCTTCTTCACAGGCAATTGGCATCCACGTGTTCTGGTATTTAAGAAAAGTTGTGTAACGTAGGTGTCACAAAAAATTGTTTGATCAGCACTAAAAAATTTGGTCTTGTGGTCACAGAAGATGGAGAGAAGGAGTGTGAGGATTTTGTGAATATAAAGTTTTAGGAAATGGTTACCTTTCTAGTACATTATTTACATTACTCCTGCAAAATTAAGCAGGTGTTCCTTGGCTTAATAATAAGGTTAGTTCCTTTGTTGCAAAGTCAACCGATGTGCCACTTCTAGTATGAATAAAATAAGGAAAAATTGTTTTTTCATCAGTCAAATATTTAAGTCCTCATTGATTAGTGATTGTGCAATCACCTTGTATCGTGCTTTATGGTAAAGATAAGGAAATGCTGCATTAATCCCGAGTTCATCAGCTTGTAAAGAATTTCTGACATCTCATTTTAAAAATACCTTACAATGGAGTAGTTTGAAGCTCTTTTTATCGTGGGATTAAAGAATTTATTTGTTTAATTTAAATTTTAACTCTCCCCCATCCTCTTCTCCCCCTATTCAACACCCACTTGTTGTAGGGTAGCTTAATTGGCCAGAAGAAAGGATTTAGCATCTTCTTTCAGCCTCGTTTAGTTTAAATGTCCAGCACCAGCGTGCACGCACCTTATTAGTTTATCCGAGCACACAATGCAGAATCTGATTAGAGCGCAGACTCAGTTTGATTGGATAATCGAGTTAACACGAGGAGGATTCTCATTCTTCGCGAGTCGACACTGCGTCTCTCCGCCTTTTCCACCGCCTCCTCCTCCCTCCGACCTCAACGCTCAGCTTAATTCCCACTTCCCAGAAGAGAGCGCCTTTAACAACAGTAATCACATTTCACCAATGCCCGCTAATCACTGCTTGAGGGGCAGTGGAGTTAATTGGCCCAACAAGTCCTTCAATTAAAGTGCAGTGAAAAATTGAAAAAGTCTCAATTCAATGCCATGAGCATTCCTCTATGGCACACGGAGTACCAAAAGTGTAATAAGTTGACCCCAGTAGAGATCCATCATACATTTCCGTAGGATAACTATTTTCCTTCTAAAGAAAGTAACCTGATCATATAAGAAGATGGAAAGCTTACGCAAATAAATGATTCGGAGATTAGATTTTAAGCACCTCGGAATAATAAACACTTTTTCTTAACGATTATCGCAACTGTCATCAGTCAGGTTTCAAGATGACCTTACCCTTCTAGAACCTGCAACATTATTTATAAGAAAAAATGCATATTTGACCCATTTCTGGTTTTGATTGTAAGTAAGTAAGTAGTAGTATTTTTGACACATTATTTGTGCTCAATTCTTTAAAGAGTAAGCACCACACATTTAGTCATCATGAAGCTTAGACAAAGTAATCTATCAAACAAAACCTCTGTCTAGTAAAGCATGCCATGAATAATGAAATCTTATTCATTTCGAAACGCACTTTTTCTCGCCGGCTTTTTTAGGCCCTCAGCACCACGTTTAATGCTGTAGCCTGAATATGGCCCTGATGACTGTAATGATGTGGAAAACATAGCGGTGTTTACAAGTAATCAGCTTGTACTATATTCACCCAAAACCGGTAGCTTCAGCTTACTACCGACGACTAATGGTGGATAACTCTTTTTAAGCTTTTCATTAAGATAGCGTGAATGCACAGGGTTTGTCTTCTGTAATGTTTGTAATTTTCCTGCCTTCTGTCTCAATTATTCTATTAAGAACATCAATTTGTCCCCATTGCGATTGCTGAGCTAATCAAATATGTGGTCCCTTGGGTGCACACCAACTGAATGCAATTAGTCCACTGATCTAATCTCCTTTGTCCATCTGTACATCAGAAGCTATTTCCTTTATTTTTTATCATCCTATTGAACATGTCAGTATGGTGCGGAGACGATGTAGTACTAAAGACAGATCTCCAAACAAGGAGAACAGTTGTCAAGTGTGGAGGACATTTAATTCAACGAATGACAGCTAGAGAAAGTTTGATTAGCTGATGTATTTTGACAGCCTGTTCCTGTCAATCGGTTTACAGGCGAGGATGAGAATGAGGATGTGGCTGAAGCATTAGGTGAAGTTGCAGTAAGGGGGATTAGATGTCGTCCTTCCCTCTCCCTCCTCTCTTCATCCTTGACAAAGTAGGGGAATCAAATTATGCAGTTAAATTTTAAGCAACTGTTGCGTCGTGATGACAATATGACCTCTCTTGTCACTGATGCCAGTGCAATTTTGTTCAACTCGTCAAAAGCTCCTCGGGTGTAAAATTGAAAGGAGATGATATAGTATAGCTAAATGCTTGCCTAAATTTGCTGTGTATAAATGGAAATTTTCATTCCTAAAACCACTATAGCTGCCCTCTACACTAACCCAGTTAAACAAGCACTATTCCTTAAAGACAATCAGTCTTTGATGAAAGCTATTTTCCAGAATAAAAATGGCTGTATGCTTGCAAAGCTAAGGACTTAGAACTAAAAACTTTCAAAAAAATATTCATTGGGTCAACAGGTGAGTAATTTTTGTCAATCGTCCTTTAACAGTTATTTAATTAGGATTACTAGAGGTTTCAAGAGGTCTGCTCTGAGTTATGTGTTTTGCATGACACCACGAAAGCATTGATGTCGTATGGAACCATTTTCCTTTGCTTTTGCTCACCATAGATGTATACATTTTGATAATTTTACATTTATCATTCACGGTTGAAATTATTTTGATGAAGTCATAAATGTTTTTGACATACTTTTTCCATTCATGGATGAAGTCCAAATATTTTTTTGAACCGTTAAGTGACCGATCGCCTTCTATTCGGAAATTTCAACGGCCTCTACATCGCCTGAGGGCGGTCAGACAATCTTCGTCAACTAATTCCCCTAATCACTTTTAACTAACAAATAATTGACGCCACCCTTTAACATGCGATTGGGGCAATATTACTACCCCTAGACATTCAAGTTCTCAAGTTCTTCAGGCAAAGGAAAATAATTATAAAAGTGAGAATCATAAGTTTAAAGTGCATCAGTCTGTGCAATTTAATGCAATGACCGATTTCACAGTTTCCTTATGTTCTTTAAGATCCCATGAATCACGGGTAAGACTAAGGCAACTGGTGGCTAAAAGTGTAGGCTGATTGTCTGTGAAGCAGTTTTATTGTTTTTCAATTACTAGTTGAAATTTAAATGCCTGAGAACATGAAGCTTGATTTTTGCTTCTTTTTATTGCTTAACTATCCCATTATGATATGCTCTACCTAAACAGATCGCAGTGGACGCAGCTGCAAAGTTCAACATCATCCAAGGAGAAAATATTGCAATTAAACGAGTTGTTCGCATTAGTGCAACAGATTACTTGAAGAAGAAGGAACATGGTTTCCATGTTGTAAGGGTGTAACGAAATTCGACTAATTACATCCACCTCTTCATTGCTATTGTCACAAAGTTGGTATGATTAACCCCTTGTGCAAATCAACCTCCACGATGGAAGGAGTTAGAACAGCGCATTATAAACAAGCTCGAATTTGCATCAATTTGAAAAGGAAAAGCCAACTCAGTGATTGAATCATTTCAAAAGAGCCGATCAAACAGAAGTTCCGTTTGACAGCATCCCTTACGAAATCCTAACTTTTTCGTATAGTCAGAGCCCACAAATACTGTTATGAAATGCATTGAGTTAGTTTGAAGAGAAGCAGTAAGGGCTAACCAATTAGCATGCTTTAAATGGGCTTTGAGCTATGCGTATTTTTAATTTAATAGGCTTTCAGTAAAGTATTTAACCCTACAATATGTCACCAAATATTCTTGCTGAATTCGTTATGAATACAGATTTCTAATGCGGCTATTTTTAATGGCAACTTCAGAACTCACTTAGCATTGATAAATCAAGTAGGTCCTAAGTAAACCCTATTACTTAATAGGGTTACTTAAATAAGTAATCCAAAACAAAGGTTGTAAATAGGAAAACTGCAGCATCAAAATCCCACATTGAATGCAGTTAGGTTATGCATGAGATCTCATAATATTGCTTCAGGTATTCGTAAAAGTGTGTCGAAATTAATTACAAAATTTCAACTCACCTGATCATGTACACCCTCTAAATAGAAAACTGTGAAACTGTCCGGTGGGCGGATCTGCGCATCCTCCAAGAAGGCGTGTTTCCTTTAACTTGCTTGAGCGGGTGCTTGCGTGTGTGTAGGTGCGTACCTGCCTGCCTAGCGCACTTGCGTCTGGCGCAGAAGGGGCAAATGAGGAGGGGGGGGGGGGAAATGGGGAACGCGCTAAAGCCTTCACGCTAGCATCCAATCAGTAGAGGCAGCGCATACGCGCACATCTCGACATGACTACAACAAAATCTAGCACCCCACAATTTACGCCCCATTTTTTAACCACATCACCTTATCGTCGCTGTTGGAACTCTTCAATCCGCCTTTTCCACCCAAAAAAATAAGGTTCACAGTTGCTAACTGCTACATGGCAGATCTGTGAAGGAGTAACGCCCAAACTTGACTTTCTAAAGCTACGTTTAATCCTTTAAACTTCCAGCCTTTCACTATTTCATATTAAGTTAATATTTTTATATTTCTTTAATTGGTACAGCAGACCTCAAGTGCTTTTGATGACATCGGATACGCATGCATTCCCCTTCCCTTCGGCGGGGATTAGCAGGAATTTTGAAATCGAAGTTAACGTTCTAAATGATATGCACAATCGAAAATGTGGTGGCTTTAAAAAATTATTAATGAATTGTAATCTCTTTTTAAATTCCATTTCCAAGATCGCAATATCAACTAAGTGTTTCTTCAAGATAGTGATGGAAGGTGTACATTTGCGCCTGGATTTGGGTAGTTCTGTACTTTGAGCATGGTTACTCCGCGTCCTTGCCACGCATATAATGGCGTTTGTGGTCCATCAATCATTGGGTCACTTACGGTCTGTAAAAAGTTACCTAGACAATCGGTAGTAAATTTCCGGTGAGATGCGCTTACTAAGACTCAAAATCCAACGAAATAAAAACAACATCCGTGCCAGAATATGAAAGCTCATCATACAACTTTGAATGTGGGAGCCTGATTTATGAGTCCACAATGACGCACAATCGCAACGCCACCGCTATTAGAGCGACCCAAGTACTTCACCGGTGGATCTACTAAAGACATCGTTAATTGTGCCTTGCACTTTATCGTTTAGGTCACCTTTATTCCTATGTGATAAATGAAGTGCAGATATGGACCAGAAGCTGAACTGAGGCAAAATAACTTTTCAATGCAAAAGACAAATATTAATGTTATAATCTAGAACCACACATTGTCTAGTCACCAATTTCTGACATTGTTAAGAGATTATGATGAGCAACAGTGTGTCGAACTTTTAATCGTCAATTGAGGCACAGATTTCACATATCCTGTGCATATCCTCCGGAGTTCTAGTCTTTTAGTCACTCTGTATCACTATAGCATCTTTTAGGAGTAAACTAGAAGTTACAGAATAGTCATTCCAAGTGTGGTTTTCTTGCTTAAAAGAGGTCACTACAACTACGTAATTTAAGCCAATCTACACCGTTAAATGCAAATCTCAAATAAAAGGCAACGAAATTCCCTTGTAGAATTCTGGAAGGCTACTAGAGTCCCTCTATAAGCGATGGAATGGTAACCCACGTTCACGCAAGCAACATTTGAGCCATTAGAAAATCCTGCTATCTGGGAGACACCGCCACGACTTTGTTTGAATCATCAGCGTCCCCGAGTGTTCGCGGCAATTTTGTCCCAATTAATTGTGACGAGCTGGTGCCTCTAAAATAAACAATGCATAGCCAAGGAGACGGTAAATTTGAATTTCGGCGATATTTACGCAAAAAGGTCACAGAAAGGCAACTGTTGCAGCAGCAACGGGCTGCAAAGTGACGGGGATTATTTATACAATTAGTGGCTGGTCTGATTAGTGTCGGGTGAAGGTAATTAGGGACGCATTCCGTAGTCTCCCCCTCTGTCACCCTCATCCACTCCACATTTCCGACACCACCTCGGACTTATGTTTATGCTGCATTTGATAGAGTGGAGAAGAGAATGTAGGTAAGAAAGTTCTCTCTTAATGGACTGCTAAGTGTTACTCTAAGTGACAAGATGCTAATTTCTCCTCACATATTACAGATTTCCAAAATCTATGGTACTTTATTTAACAAAAAATAGATTCCACTTGGTTATATTTAAGGCGGAGTTTGGCTTGTGTGGATTCCGAAACCTTATTCTTAAAATACTCGGCTCTTCTGAATAACTTCACAAAAAAAACCTATCCGTAGTTTTGAGCAACTGGATTTCAAATTTTTCGAAAACAAAAAATAACTCGTTTTGCCAAATGTGGTGTTTTAAAGTTTGTTTCTATATTTTTTTCGACTGTTATTTGTTGAAAATTGTGACAATTAATCGAAGCACCACGTGGGCCTAGTTTATGTTAAGGTAGCATGATTGTGAATGATGTATCTGTGTTTTAAATTTAAAAAAACATTCATGTAGAAAAGTCATAGAGTTTTGACCCTTTTGTTCAAAATAAGAGAAATGAGTGTTAATAAATTACCACTCTGAAACTAGGGAAGAGGGTACAAATTTGCCACCTCCACGAAACACAGATGTCTCAGCACCGTTTGCTAAATCGACCAACATCGGATATAATTTCGACATCATCAGCGATTCTTCAAACTCATGATGAATCTTCTTGGGTTTGAATGTGCAAACAATGGGAACAAGCAGTGGCACAAAGACCTTTGAAATCAACCGCCTCGAAAGTTTTTCGTTTTAGCAATGATATTTATGCACGAGTTGAATTAAGCTACTCTGTTCATCGTGGGCAAAGCACATTTTACTGCCTTGGGTTAGTTTGAGGAAATGGCAACTTGTCCCAATTAGTTTGGGTGACGATCGTCTCTGCGCCAAGCCAAATGCCACGACTATCTAACCCGCTTGAGGGTGACAAACGTCATGTTCCATTCAATGGGAGGTGTGCACGTGTGCGTGTGCAGATGCGGACATCTGCTTCCAGCGTAGTTAGGGTAATTAGGCAGATGCTGACTTGGTGGCATCATGGCTAAACCGATTTTACCACAACTCCTCGATTTCCTTACCAGAAGAACGACTCACTGTTGACTGCGCATCCTCATTAAATAAATGCATCTAGGTTTTCCTTCCTTTTTTGCTGAAAGATCCATCATACTCAGTTTTGCAACGTGTAAAAATTTGAAAGTAGTTAAATCATGAAAGGTTGGCTATTTTAATCCCTCTATTTGTATGTATGATTATGTGAAGTAAATAATTCAGTCTTGCAATCACTGATGTCTTTAATCAAGCTTCTGGACATTGTTCCTCCTAACCATGGGTCAATAATGAATCCCAAATGCGCCGAATGTGGCACAATTGTGAGTTGTGACACAGGCTTGACCAAGGATGCTATTTTAATTGAAATTTGAATAATGGATTGTAGTTATAAGTGTTTTGACAATAGGTCTTAAATTATTTCAATTTTCCAGGAAAAAAGCGTTTTCCCACTATGATGGCTTGAACTTCACAGTTAACCAACAAGTGCTTGAACGTAACCTCACAAATCCTCCCAGTTAGAGAGCCACTACCTATATATACAAGTTACGTTGAAATGGACCGTGCTTTAATCGGATCCTGTTCATCTAGTCAGCGATGCACACGTGGCGTGTGCTAACACCGTGTGCAGCTCTAAGTTGGTTCGCCATCTTACGGCTACTCATGTGAAGGCTAATTTTTTTAAATAATTAGCTTCCCACTTCTTCACTTTGTTTCTACAGCCCATGGACCCATTTATACTTCTGGTACTAGTTTTTAAGGATTGTTTAGCTAATTATTTGTTTTTAGGCGTATGCGGGTAAGTCGCATTGCTTCCCTTCACTAATCACTGAGATCTACAATAAGTTATTAAAGCATTAGTTTTTTTTCCATTCCGACTTATATGTTTGATTCCCTAGTTTATTTAATCTATTTCAAGATGTTATTCAAACAAGCAAAAGATTTAATGGGAACCTGAGAAAAACTGCTGTGGCAACTATCTACACTATGGAATTAGATTAATCTCAACGTCAGTGACTATTTCCATGGTCAGCAACTGTCATGGGGCCTTTGGTGATGCAGAAAGAAGTTGTGCGTCTTACCTCATCTGATCTCGTTTAGTCGATGATCCGACCAGACCACCCACACACGGTATTGGAAAATGTCTGTCGCTAATTGATGAGGTGGTCTGTGTCTTCCCCGTCAAGTGGAAGGAATTGTTAAAGTTGGGCTTATGCGCAAGTGCGGACCAGTGCAAAGGCACATGACAATGTGAAAGAACGCTCTCGTTTGGCAAGAATGGATCTCATTAAATCTCCAGGCTGTCAGCAATTTGATTTGTGCAAAGTTGGAAGCTCTTATAAAAGAGGAATAAGGTCATATTCATGGAAAATGTGTGAGTTCCCTTAAATGAGCTTTACAAGAAAAGCTAATTCTGAAAATTCACTCAAAGTAGTGAATTTATTAACAGAATATGAACCAGTTAACGGAAACGAAAGGCTGGTGTTCATTGAGATCAAGACACTTTCTTACTCTCAGAGTGGCTCATTGAAAAGCTAGAACCCATTTTTTCCTTATTTTCAAAATGCATTCTACGATTTTCCTCGGAAATTCACAAAAAAAGCAGATTATTTTATTCTACTGATTGTCATCAGTAATAATTATTGAGAGAAAATTTCAGCGATAGAAATAGGAATAGGTACGGGCCACTGTCACTGGTGAATGCAGCATTCGTGGAATTTGTGCTACGTGCAAAATCTTACTAATAATTGCATTGTTATAGCACTAAAGCAACAAACTAAATTAAACCTCTTCTTTTTCCATTATATGGTGTAAAAAACAAGACTGTTTACCCCTGATCGCAAACCTATGGGTAGCAAAAATACTCCTACTTAGAGTGTATTCAGTCTCTTGGCAAGTCGTCAACACCGATTCCTTCGCATAATACATGTTCCAATTTGCGAATAAAACCCTATTGCTCCAAATTAAATCACTGAAATTTATTAGTCCAATAAAATGTTTCAAAGAGAGGGTAGAAAAAACCCCAACCATTGTAACTGAAATAGGGGGGTTAATGCCTAACTGTTTAACGAGGTGAGGTTAATACTAAACTAGGTTTGGTGGTCTCGTTACTTAATGAATTATCTCCAATATTAGTAGCATTTTTTCCATTGACTGAAGTGAGTTGCTCAATTTTAGGTATGCCGTGCTAACCTAAAACTCTCCTTTTTGTTGCTATCAAGGATGGGCATCACATTGGAAAATTAACGACGAAGTTCTGCGTATAACAAACAAGTCTTCTGAGGTAGCGAAACTACAGTATGTGTTACTGTAAGGCGAAATAGAATTCGCCGCATTGCATTCTGCTCTCCAAGACTTAATGTTAATGCTTAAATATGCTTTAAAATATGACAAATGTTTTTTTAGGCTACTAGAGGGTGGTATACCTTGGATTTTTGTGTATCATCAGTTAAATCCAAATGATAAATTGGGTGATCAGTTAGGTTCCAAACGGTTAAATGCATGTATTGCTATAAAAAGGATTTTATTTTGAAATTTATGCCAAAATGCAAAGGAAAAGGGGATGAACTATGGTTTGTGCGCCAATCCGTCTATGTTTAAAGCATCCAACCCATCGATTGAGGGCAGCTGACTGCACAAGGACAGATTCCGGGTCAGATCTTATCTAGCGCCATTTCCGAATGGGTAATAACTTTAGTCAAGAACTCAGGGCTCATGGTATAGCAGCACCAACTCGTGACACGCTAACGCATCCATACATTCAACGGACAAAGGTGTTCGGCCAAAACACTACAGACCTATACGTCTACCGACCTAGCAATTGTAGAGTCAGATGTAAATCAACGGGTACTAATACAGGGGAGAGCGTCTATGCCACCTCCTGTCTATATCGACGAAAAGTGTATGCAGAATCACTGCCAAAATTAAAGCAAACGGCAAAATACCGGTCGTCGAGTACACCCAAACATCCTCTCTGCTCTGCCCCTAGTACACAGTCCATTCAGTCTGAGCGATATATGCCTAATTTGTCGGTCTCAAGCGCTCGAAATTCCGCTCTACGACCAGTGAAGGAGCCTCCACTTTTGGGGCCATTTAATCAACAATGGAATGATAACAACTGGACCGGCTTCGGTAGTGACAATAGTCGAGATTCTTGTATGTCACTTACCGACTTTAACTCTGCCGTATCAACAATAAGCAAGCCACTGCCCAAACTGCTTTCCGTGCATCAACTCATGGATAAACTAGACTGCGAATTTTCCAAGAGTAAAGCTTTGTTGAGGAAAACCGTAGATGGACTCACTGACACTGATTAACTTGTGAGCAGGAACACGTCAGAACAGAGAGAACTCATTAGAAAAACCGAGGAGAGCGTATGTAACACACAGACGTTACTGGCGAAAGTTCACCAGCACATCGCAAACGCTCATGAATTTTGTAATATGTTGCATAGGGTAGACGAATCCTTGCAGCTGTTTTCAAAAGCCGCCTACAGTGTAGCCACTTGGGAGCAGGTGAAGCAAGAGGACACCTCCCGGCTACCCGAGTAGGTGTAGGAGTGGTAGGGGCGTGAATACATAACGTCTGGGTTTGATATGCATTTTGTAAATTCAGGCACTTGATTCTTAACTCAAGAAGGTGATTAATGTACCACTATTTTCCCATTCATTTTTATTTAATGCATTATCTTCGATGACAGCCTGTTTTCTACATGGGCCAGTCTTTTAGGCATTTTGTGTAGGCTGAGAGTGAGGTGTGATGCAGAATAATCCCTTTTATAAAATGCATTACTCGCTTCAAAAAGTGTATCGCTTTTCCCTCTAATGGAGCTAATTTGCCTTAGCTATCTGTTTTTTTAAAAACCAGGTACCGAATAGTTGGATAGCTTTTAACTGTGGTAAACATTTTAGCTTATGGCTGAGCTACAGTAATAGATATTGTTTTAGAGTAGGAATTCTGGTGCAAATACATGGCGTTTTATTACAGGACATGGTTGCCTGAAATAAAACTTTTTAAAAACAACATATCGCATGATGATAGAACTAAACATGCGGAAAAAATTTTGCTACCAGTTGATTGGCAGATTCAGTTGTAGCTTTAACTGCATCATTGGCAAAGGTTAGATTTGCAATAGTTTCCGACGTTTGTTCGAAATCAAAATCGACATTTAGGACAATGATGGTTCTGGTCCTTCCAATCAGGGACTTCTGTATCATCCGTGTGAAAGAGGTCTCAGCAACATTTGGTCTAGCCCTCTTTTGGAGGGCCCGGAAAAGACCAGCCATTGCGTCTCTTTCAACAGAAGAAAAGAGGGGATAGAAGCAGAGCCACGAGGTGTGCGTAAGGGTCTTTTGAATTCGATCTTGTCCCACCAACCGCAGGAATAGGGCAACTTGGCCCCTCCCGCTTGTGTCCTTATTTTCATTTAACCAACGCAAAAAACTTACAAAACCATCAGCATTCTCAATCCGCACACAGCACTTGCTCCTTCCCATAAAATCTGGGTCAGCGTGCTCGCAGATGATGGGCCCGGCTGCAGGGTGTTCCTCAATGAGGTCTATCATGCAGCTGTTAGTGCATGAAATTGCAAAAGCATAGAGGTAGAATTCTGTCTCAGCTAAGGTTTCAAAGTGGCCAATGAGATGTCCAACTTCAAGCAAAGCCAACCCCTCAGTGTGCGACAGGAGTAAGTCTTCCGCACTCGGTCCGAGAGTGACAATTGTTACGGGACCATCGTGTAAACAGTCCAACACAAGTCCACTCAAATCACCATACAACGCGCCGTTTCCATCCTCAGCTTTGCATATTCCATCAAGAATGAAACAGTCCTTAAAGTTGACCAGAAGTTTATTGTGAGAGATCAATTGAATGTGAGAGGCTTCTTGTTTACCATTAAGAAGCCGAACGAACGCATGAACTGTACCAGTCACCCGCTGGAGGCGCTTCATAACCAAAGCCAGCTGTATCTCCTCCTCCTTCAGAGCACTTTGAAGCTCACGTATTTGACCGCTCAGCTTCTTCTTATCCTTAACAAGCTTTTGCGCTCCAGGCGTTGTCTCTGTCACTTCGTCAGCCTCCATTTGACTTTCTTCCTCTTCTTCATCTTCTACTTCCTCCCCTTCCTCCTCCCCCCGTACTGCAAGTTCCGCAATTGAGATTGCTGTCTGAGTATCATCATCCTGGGTGCTCCCTAGGTTTTTCAGCTGCATACACGCAGCCGCGTAGTGCCTCCTCAGTGCATTAAGCTCATCCTTTAGGTGGCCACATTGTCTTTTTAGTTGGTCACGTCTCTCCTTCTCCTTGTGGAAAACGTGAAGTATTTGTGGTTTTAATTCCAAAAGCTGTTTTATGTTCTGGGTACAAAGTTTGTGATTTGAAAGCACATCCACGAGAAAAACGCTAGAGAGTGGAACAACAAGGTCGTTTGCCGCATACTCGCTATAACTGCAAGCCTTGCTAAACACCGGCTCACCACAGCTTAGGTCCTTCAGTGGCACATCACTATCAGTTTTTGTTTTATTTTTATCAACAATCCATGGCCCTACGATACCTTCTAAATTGAGAATAAACTCATTCAAACGCTTCAGCTCGCTTGCCTTCTCGTTGCTCTTGGACACCTCCTTTTCAAGAACTGACCTCATTTTGAGCAAGTTGAGATAGCATTCTGTCAGTTCTAGCAGAGCATAGTAGCGACCCTTCCAACGTTTTGCTAAAAAAGCCTGACGACCTTCTACGCTGCCTTCTTCAATTGTCTGTCGCTCATGCACATCCTTGGCCGTGGCGATCTTGAAGGAGAACTCGTTTAGTAGTTTTTCGATGCGACGTGGAGGCGAATTTGGTCTCTGATTTTTACGAATAAGTTGAAGGAGTTTGACATTTTCTTGCTCTAGAAATTGATAGCATGCGAGGAGGTCCACGTGAAATTGAGCATATTTTGACTGCAGGTAATCTGAAACTTCCGTGAAGTTGACAGTTGTGTTAACTCCAGTGGCGCTGACTTGGTAACTAACGTCTTTGCTTTCGATAGGAGGACTATCAACGGATTTGGAGGCGCGAATACCCTGAAGGAGTGGCACGCAGGAGGGTGTTGTCGTGCTGTGTGTTTCCTCCATGGCCAAAACAGCCATCCACGCTTCCAACCACGTGGAGAAGAATCGATAGGTCACAGAGTAACCTAAGGATGTAATTGAAGAGCTAATGCGGCCACAATTGTCATGTTTTGTGTGGCCAGTCGGTAGAGTGGATTTTTGGGACGGCTCAGTTCGATTTCACTTTGGGATTCTTGCTTTAAATGCCAAATCTGCATGAAAAGTCGAGGTCATCGAAGCTTTTAAAAAGATGTTAATATCTTTGTTTTAGAATTACATTTAATAGAAAGAGCGCATTTACGAATGCAAGAATTTTTGAGTGAAATTTATTTCCTTACCAAAACCACTCTTTTCTCTAGCAGTACATCATACAGTCTATTCGTTGGTAATCTAACTTGAATGGCAGTAAATATTATCGGGTGACGACAAAGTTTACGAAGTTTCCAGTAAGGCCCACTGAAGGGTACTTTGTACGTGCTTGTAAAATGCGTGCTATTGTTTGCATGAATGGACTATAAATCATGGGAATGGGGCAGTCCGCTGATACCGTTCTCTCAAATGGCTTCATTGCCGTTCGCCTCTTTTCGTGAATCCTTTTACATAAAATACCATTTAAACCTGATGCGATCAGACCTTGTCAGCTCTACTAATTGGGGTTTGGTTTGTTTAAAAAGGCGAGTAAGTTTCTAGCCAAGCTGGTTTTATGGTGCTTGAGGTAGGCGTGGTGACAGTTTGCATTGCCTGATATCAAATCTTTTAAACAATTTGGTTTTGGTGTTAAATTATTAAAGGATTGACTTTCTAGTGTCAAAAATGAGCAACTACTTGTCTTTGGTCACGCCTCAATCCGAAGCAAACATATTAAGAACAGCTTTCAGTTGGCTTCACAGTGGATGATGTAATAACTCATTTACGCCTACATCAACTGAGGATGTTGTGTTGTAAGCTCAGCAAATGGATTTTACGCGTGTGCATGAATGGATGACAGTAGGGCTCAAAATTTATCAGTCCATCCGCTTCATTTTTGGATTTTTGCCTACTGGTTGGCTTATATGGCTCACACTTCTAAGGCATGCATCCCTTTTCCTGCTCTGTGTGTGCAAACATGCGGTGGACTACAGAAGAAATTGTCCAGTGTGGATCTCGTCTTGGAGGCCGAAGAGCGATTGCGGCTGAGATCTATCTACCCGGTAAAACATATCTCGAAGGTGTGAAAGGTAAGCTTCTTCTTGGAAGACAGCCAGAGCTAGTTGACGAGCCGGAAGAAAGCCCCATTTAATATGCAAGACCTCGCATCTCATACAGCAAAGGGTACCCCCTTTGCCAAGTGGTGTTTATCATCCTTTCTTGGTATCGAACAATTACATAATCGTGTGCAAACTGGAATTGACAGTTGGAATATAAGAGTGAGGCTGAAAAGGAGGCAGTCAGGACTAGGTTCTTGTTTACAGAGGCAAAGCGTTTTGTAAAAGTCGAAAGTAGAGCCAATTCAAATCCCATTGTTGATGGAGGATAAAAATGAAGAGGTGATTACTTCACCTTAAAATATCTTGAAAGAAGCATTCTGTAGCTACCCGGTTTTTAGTGTAGATAGCCCTATTAGCTCAACTGGTCATTGTATGCACAAGTTATGCTCCATTCCAGTATTCATCTCGTATTGTAAATAAACGGAAAGTTGGTTTGATTTCGGAATACCCTAATATCTTTTATATCCTTTTGTCAATTCTTACTCATTAAACTGTTAACTTTACCTTTGTGGGACCTACAGACTCCACAATCTGTACTTCTTCTTGGCGGGATGGACTTCTGGCTATGGAAATGGTCTCGCAACCCTTTTATGCGTAAGTAAGAACCTCTTTCCGTAGTGGTATGGCTTACCACTACATTAGGGAGGACCGGGAGTGCCATACTATTAAGAATGCTAATGTAATACAATAGTGGTTTATCCCTCGGTTCTGGTGAGGCGCCACTTTTGTACTTTGAATTAGCCCCCTTGTACCTCGCTGGGTGGGCTGGCCTTTTGGGCCATTCCAATAGCCCAGACACCTTCTCCGTGCTAAATATATATTCTGCCCGAGTATTTTGTCTTCTTTCGTCTTCAGGGAGTCTCGGGACGCTACACTAACGACTCCAATCCAAAGTGTTAGCGATCCTAATTTCTCTGGCCAACTACCAAGCATCAAAACTCCCAAAAAGAAGTATCTAATACTAACCGCAGAGCCTAAGAAGAAATCGCACGAGGAGGATTATCAGAGCTACCTCCACTCCAGGAAATCAAGCATAATCTTGTACTCTACAAGCACATAAAAGTAACACCTTACTCTGAATTTCTGAAAATGTTCATTGTGAAACTTTCCCTAGTGCTGAAGTGAAGGTATCTAAATTAAGTGAAAGAGTCACTTCTCCACCTTTCATTAGCTTAATAAAACTAAGATAGATCTCTAAGTAGCACCAAATTGAAAGTAATGCAGGAAAGAGATATAAAATCTAAATATGTATTGCACTTGATGAGAAACATCACTCAGCCTTGATAGGTAAAAGCGCTGTAAAGTCTCGCAGTGAGTTTCAAGTATAGAATGATATCAATGCAAAGTATCACCGGTCCTAAAATCCAACGCTTTAGCGCTTCAGTATTAATTTATTGACTATCCTCCCTGGTCGGTAGGTGGCTTTTAGAGCACGGACCACTTTGCGGTGGGCGAAGCAGAAGATTGGCTACGAGGAGCTCCAGGAACCACACTTATTTTATTGTGGCATGGCTTGTCACGAGCCCAAAGAAGACTCGGGCATGTAATCTGCTGGAAATAAGTTGCAACATATAAGTGTTTTGGTAAATCTTTGATAATTTAACAGCTTGCAGACAGAAGGGTTAAATCTGGTGATTCGCGTGTTTGCGTACCAAAGTAACTAGAGTAAATAATTTGTAGCTGTTTAAATAAATTGGCGAAACCAGCAAATTGATTTTTTTATTGCAAACAGTCAAATCAGTCCTTTTTCCTGTTTGAACCAATTAGGCCCTGGCGTAAATTTGACTCCACGATGGCATTAGTCTGTGAGCGTTTGTTTGCGCAGGTTTGGACTTTGCTCTTGGTGTTAGAATGTTGTTAGCCGTCTATGCAGTTGTTGTTTTATTTACAACTTTCATGATACTGTCAAAATCGGGATTTCGCCTTATTCGCGGGAAATACTTGTGTTTAACGAGATTTTGTCGGGCGCCGCCTGACGCAATAATGTGTCTCAGCATCGGCATTCTATACGGTTCATTTCCTATTATTCTCTTACACATCTCATTTAAGTCAAAGCCCATTTCTCTTCCCTATTATGGCATGTTTGCCTGCGCAGCAACGTGTTTTTTTACGTCAATATCTGGATTTCTCTTTTCAAACATTTTCAATTGCCACCATGGATAGCATTGAGTCGAGCTGAAGTTATGTTTTCCACCCATTTACAGGTAACATGTAAGGCAAGTAATAAATCTTGATCAAACCGTAAGATGATTTCTATCTCTGACGCACCAGGCCACATAATTAAGCTTGTGACATAGAAGAGTAAGGCGAAAATCCTGTCGTTCAAGCGGTGGACAATCGGTTATCCGTGTCTGACACGAATTGAGCCTTGAAATTCTTGCTTTTAAATACCCTGTCCTCCCATTTTTTTAATGAGAATGATCTCAGTATGGCTTCCACTCAGGGGATGATGCCTGTTGCGGTTCCATTTAATCACGTATTTTTGTCGTAAATGGTGGAGCTTTATCTTAAAGCGTTATTTTTGCAGCACTGTACATACGCTTTCTGACGGAAGTCTGATTTAATGGTAGTGGAATCGCCCTGTCACAACGGTCAAAGTGTGGCTGCTAATTATGCCAAACTGGCTTATTTTACGTAATGATTTCAGCATTAAATGCGCTATATCACTTCGTTCCGTTGTCGCTACTTTCAAAATCGAATGCATAGTATAGTGATTGGGGTCCTTTAAATTGATATCATGCAAATAATGCATATAGACATGAAATAACTCATGTACGTGGAATCTCATTTGGCTTAATAGTGCAACGCTTTATGAGTCGTGGGCTTTGGCGTTCCTCAATCAATTTCTGAATGTATTGACGCGCGATTTTTTTCAAAGCTTAGTATCCTCTCTTCTCATGGGCTAAAATTGCTTTTCGAATAAACTTTGTTGTTGACTTGCTCCATGTTATTTGTTGAAATCCCTTTTGACCTCTGTGAAATTCGGCCCATCGAATTAATTGGATTAGGATCACTGCCATACTTCTAAGCTTTATCAATTTTGTGAGATAGACTGGATTATATTCAAATAAACTAAACCAAGATGGTAATAAAGATGGGTAATCAAAGCAGGGCAACATGTAACCTCTAATTGCTGCTTCCTTTTACATAGGTCCCGATGGGGGCTATCGGCAACATTATTGAGGAGGTCATATCTCCTGTATTGGTGGTTATCTCCGCGCTAAATGCGGATAGTCTCATCTGTTTCACGTTGTCGGTGTTGATATACTTGTTAAAATTAGAAAAACACCTGGTTAGCCGCAAAAGGCCCTTTCCTCTTCCTAACTGAATTCGTCAGCCTGTGTTTGTAAAGTGTGATGAAGTTACGATATCGCTTTTGATATCACTGAACATGTTCGATTATGTGTCCTTGGGTTTATTTCCCTTTCAGGCTCTAGATTTGTGATTGCACTCGATTTGTCTGCATGCCCTCCTTCTAGTTGAGAAAGCCGGACGCGTTGGTTTTGCTGATCTGGAGGGTTTGGATTTTGCCTGTCTCCTGATGTTCACAATGTCCTCGTTTGTAGCTGTGAACTCCACTATATGACTCGACAATCGGTCGCATTTTCAAGCACACCTTGAGTAGTTCGCATGGCTTGTGTACAGTCTCGTCAATAACGTTTATCACGACTAATCCTAAGATTCGATCTGTGTAGGTTTTTTTTGCCATAACGGTGCTTATCTTTTAGCAGTACTTTCAAGCTGCGTACCACTTCTGAACAATCCTAAACCAGTCCCGATAATGCGCCCCGCCGAGCTTCTTGTGAGAGGCATTGATTTGGTTGCTGCTGTACGACTCACATTCGTTTTATCCATCCTTGAGGGATCGCTTATTACTGAAATCGGTATACTCAAATTCAGTTATCACCACCGTCTGCTCCTTCCATAGGCATATTGATTGGGCAGCGTTCGGTAGGAACATAGTAGCAGAGATTTGCTTAACTTTTTGAGGTGTCTGATGAGCTAATGCACAGTTGATTTTGGGAGCGCATCTTTACAGCCTACTGCTATGCAGCAGAAGCGTTCCGGGGTGCTGTTGAAGTACTCCCTTCAAACCACCTCAGTAATTTTTCTGAACCCTTGTCTGGTCTAATACGATGTATGGATCACCTCACGAAGCTCCTCATCCCTCCTGGTGGTGTTGAAGCCAGATCTCCGAGTTTCATTATGGTCTGGCTGAATCAAAACTCTTAGTTTACAGAGCACCGGTCTAAAGTAACCAGACAATCACCATTATATTGTGCGATGGTCTCTTTATTATCTTATATTTACTGTACAGTCAGAAGTTTGTGCATATTACTCTAGTTGTATTGTTTATGGCTTATTCTGGTTCTAAAAAGTTCTAAAAACGAGGAGTTTTGTAAGGAATACGAGATTAAGAACACGATGGGACTGGTTCGCAGCATAGGCGATTCGCAAGCGCTTTTATCGGTGTTGGGTGATACGTTCGACGTTCGACATGCCAAATGTACCACTAGGTGATTACAGTCTGGTAGATGTCGCTTGAGTTCTTTTTGATTTGGCCTGACCAAGAAGAAGGCTTTGATTAGTAGAAAATTACGCACTCGGGTGTTGAGTAACTCGTAAAATATTCAAGCAATAGGGAGAAGTGGGCGCGTAACCGCTACGGTGATTGTGATTGTAGCGTCAAGTGATGGTCTCATTCGACAAGGCGGTTCATTTCAAACAAAGTCCTACGAGTCTGGGGTAGTGTCAAGATTTGCCTCTGGATCCATACCTAAGGGGTGGGGGAGGCGGCCGGCAAGGCTTCCTTCTGGTCTGAATCACACGGCAGCAGTTGGTTTAATGCGCCCGAGACCTGCTTGCCTTGGCGTAGCATGACATTGCTATGGGTTGGTATGAAAAGTAGTTGCTGAGGGTTGGCAGTATCTGTGCTTGGTGCATGCTGGTCGGTGGGGACTACTTCACTTCCGACCGGATATGGCGTTTTGTTCATGTTGCCTCCGGTAATAGCCCACTAGTTCTGTTTACTTATGCTACAGTGGTAGCTGGATTCAACTTATACCTTTGTTGTGGAAGGTCCGAATTAAGGCGTCAGCCCAGTTCTCAAAGTTGCAGGAAGGAGGTCGCAAATCCGATTGCAGTCCTCCTGATGTCGGTTGTATAACTTCATTACCGAGTTTTAGCCGATGAAAAGGTGAACACTCCTATGTAATGCTTTGCCAAGTTTACTACGCAGGGACTTAGGCCCCCGCAGATTTTACTTCCATTCTACAGTACGGCCTTCGTTTTAGGTCAGTGGTCTCCCCACATTTTAGCAATTTCGTTTCCGCCATACTACTGTGACCTCTTAAGACTTCAGGGAAGACTTAGTGTGCCACAGCCAGGTGGTTCTGCGAGTGAATAGTGTAATAATGTGTGTATTTACCCTGACCAGCCAGAAACTGATCTTTAAAATTTTTCGGCTTGTAGTTTGTATGCATGAAGGGATTATAGATCGGTTGAGCGTTTTAATCATTTTTGCAGATTTTACCCCAAACGTAACTTCTAAGATAATATTTAGCTATAATACTGAACCTGCTGCTTAAATTCTGCTTTAACTGAGGAGAAGGGAAAGACTGCCCTTCTTTCACTTCATTATCTTTTTCCTGAAAATACGTATGTAGATGATGCCACTACCTGTTTTTCGCTGATTGGCTAACAAAGTGCAGAAATTCTGGCCTATCGTGTACTTAGTCCAAAATCTCAAAACAAATTGTATGGAGTTGGAAAATTTGTAGTATCTTCACAACTTAGTAGTGTGTACAGTACCCATAACTCCTCATTTTTGTGCTTCTCGTTTATATGCAGCCTATACTTGTTCTTATTTTGTTACTGTGGCAGCCAATATACATGTAAGAGTGTGGTCATTGAGCCCCTCGATTGACCCATTTATATCCTTTTTTCGGGATCTGGTAATGAAGTCATTCTAACCGCTTCGACTTAAGTAGCTTCAAGTAGTAGTAACCATATTCAAAGCAAGTTTTTTTGAATTCATCTTTTCTGAATCCGGTAGTCTAATGTCTATCTTAAGCAAAGCAAGTCGTTTTACTGAGGTCTATGTGAAATTTAATAGGATGTTTTGGTGATTTCCTCTTTAGGTATTTCGTCATGTGCGCTCAAACTTCACCATTTATCCAAGTCATTTCAAAAGGATGCTTAGGTAATTGCATTAAATGTACTTCACCGGGGTTCCTTAGCCCTCCCAAAACGTTTTAGCCGCCATCGAGTTATGCCTCCAGAATTCCGCAAAAAGTACTTCCCTATAGTGACGGAGAAGGAGTTGGAGAGCTATAGAGATACCGATTGCGTCGATCCAAATAGAAAAATGGCAGAATTTTCTCCAACCAGGGAGGCCCCTCGACATCTTCGGTACGGAAATTACTGAGCAGTTACCTCGTTTACTGGAGTTGACTTTTATCGGACACCTTTGTAACTTCGTATTTTGGCCTGTTCTTTTACATCCCTCCCTGTTTCGTTAGAGTTTTGCAATTAACAATGCGAGGATTTGAGCCTAAAACCGATTGCACATTTCTTTCAGACTTCTTTATCAGGAACTGCTCCCGCACAATCTTGACCCTCGTTACCGCGATCGTCTTCGCGAACGTCTGGAGCGTCGTGAAATGATGCTTCGACGGCGCCATCTGCACATTCCCGAATTCTATGTCGGTAAATATATTTTCTTTCGTGGGAGTCTGTTTATACGTATTTCTGGTGCGTCAGCCCTATTATATTTACTATTTCACTTCTTAGTAACACTTGTTAATTAAATTCTAACCTCCCTACCTAGTTTAAAAAAAATTATTCCATTTGGCGTTTATTGTGTGCCCACTATTTTCAAGCTGAACCTCAGTTTCTGTAATGCGTCTTTGTATAAAAGCTATCGTTTCCTCCAATTTATTATATGTAATGGAAGCTTGAAATTCCCCTTGCGTGTAAAGCATTGGAGTCCTCTGTCGTTGTTTTTGGCGAAAGGTAGCTACCGGTGCTAATTTCTTCGGTACCCTTTAATTCATAACCGGTCGATTGCGTACTCTTCTTTTCATCCTCATCGTCGTACCCATTATTCTCACCTACTTCCAGTTGCATCACCCTCTGTTCGTGCAAGTGCCACTCATCATGTGTCACCATGCACACCAAAAATATGAACATAATCATTTTTAAGTTGGCCAAAGCTTTGTAGTCATCCGCGATATGTCTCATCACCGCATGGTATTTCGGCACACCGATGAGGCTGTTGGCGAAGAGGGAGCTCAGCAAGCACACCGCCTCCGTGTACTCTTGGGTGGCGTCGCTAGTGGAACTTTCTCTCAGCTTGTATGCCACGTGTTCCTGGCTCCATCGCTGGCAAATCTTTATCACCGTCATTGATGCAGCCTGCTGGTGATTACTCATCGTGGCCATGCACTTGGCCACGAGCTTTCGCCCTGTACTCCAACGGCAGGACTCTCCCTTACACATCCCATGCCGTGGACTTATCATGAATATTTTCTTTTCAATGTAATCACATAACTCAGCAGAGGCAAAAAATGCTGGCTTCTCAAAGCGCAGCATTAGAATTTGAATCATTTGAACAATTACACCGACAGGAAGGGAGGTGATTAGGTATCTAATGTGGTCTTCGTCTCCGTCAGTTTGAAGCAGACAGGAAAGAAGGTCTTCTGCCATGTTCAGGGATTTTTTGTTCATTCCCATTTGAAGATTGGTGATTGGTGGCACCCTGGCGTTTATGTACTTGAGGAGTTCAATTAAGACAACGGGAGTTGTGCAATTGACCGAAACATAAAAGAGGTTGTCGTAGCTAAGACTTCTTGGTGCTTTGGTGTGTGGCAATATTCCGTTTGTGAAATACGCAATCAGGGAACTCTTGTATTTGGGGACTTCTACAGCAGCGTCACAGCCCTCGCTTGGCATACCGTGTCGTTTCGTCCTAAGCCTTTGTTGAAGTAATAACCACGTGTGTATTCCTGCCTTTGGCACATGCGCAAATTGTTTATTGATCGCCATTTTCCCGCCTTCCATTCTGTCACACTGCTTCCTCACTTCTAACGTCAATTTCACACATTCTAACTAGTTTTGGCATCGGCGTTGCAGTTTTGTGTTACGGATCTCAGAATAGTCTTTACCTGTGAAACAGCAAACATTTTTAATAAATTTGCGTGAATCTATTCTGCAATAGTTTGTAAAAGCGAGATTGCAAACTCATTAGGCCGTCGATAGTGGTCACTAGATGGACTGAAACGTCCCCCAAATATTGCCGTTAATCTATTTGTCTCTAGTACTGACCGACAAAATTTTAATTCTAATTTCTGCAAACTCGTCCATATGCCCAATAAACCAAGGCAACAGTTTCGTTCCAGTTATGAGAATATCGCTTAAATTTGTACCAACATTTTCAAGCTACGATTAACTCGAAACCGTTAGTCCACTAGGTTTTGGTACGTGGAAAGGTATCTTCATCATAATATCTGGAAGGTTTTGCAATAGGTTGTGAAACTGTGGACTTATATGTGCGTTTTTTACCATCGTGTACTTTTTCCATCCTCTATCATCTGAAACGATCGAATTCTGTGTAAAATCATTTGTTTGAATAACTACCTCGGAGAATTCGCAAGGCTTCAAGTAGCGTTTTAGGCATTCAATTTTTCATACGAAGCATTGCCAGATCTGCAAGTTTCCTCCACGTTCCCCCCTTGCCCCTGCGCATCTTCTCTCGATGCTGTTTTGCCGTTAGCACATCCAATGCCACCTTGTGCCAAAAGTCGATCCCTACTGCGCTTATCAGTAGCATCAAAACACTCCAAGAAATTCCCTTGTTTAAGCAAATTCGGCCACACTCATTGTTGGCAGTATCAATTATCCTAATCGATGTCCCTTCACATGGTGGTTGTGAACATGGTGGCTTTTTTGGACATTCACACCTAGACACCAGTTGCATCATCTGCGCTTCCACTGGTTCGTGTATGAACATGATTCCTGGTTCCGACTGCGTTTCCGATGCGGCTCTAAAATCGTTTAGATATGAATGATCGCTCGAACGTAGCATGCGTTCTTGAATCATTTTTGCTGTCGCTTTCTCAGCTTCACGCCTAGCGTTTTCCTTTGCCAACTTTATATTCATCTCAAGTCTTTTGTAATGTTCCCGCGATTTCTGTTTCTTCAAGTACTGTGTGGCGCTGTGGATGCTCCCGTCAGACAAGTCTCCACTTTCTTCACCACTTGACTTTTCTGGTTCTTCCACCGCATGCGAACTTAGGATGCTCTCTACATCTTCAATGTTTACCCCGGTTTCCAGTAATGATACTTGTGTTCTTGTCGGTACATGGATTAAACAATCGGCAAACATGTCGGACAGCAATGAATACGCATTATAAGTAATCTCTTCGGCACCTATTTTGGGATTATTGGTAACCTCAAAGGCAATTTGATTTTCAACCCATAGATGTAGTCTTCTCATAATTAGCGATAGCAGCATGACCCGACGTGTTGTCATTTTTTCACAGACTTTGACCACTTCTCCTATCGCGGAGTAGCGCTTATCATCAGATGGAATATAGGGGATGTGAAGAAAGATTACACTTAGTTTACATAATTGGTGTGTGGGTTCGAATAGGGAGGGGTAGTTGTTCAAGAGGTAGCAACGGAGTACTTGTAGGAGTGTTCCCGTGCTGTAGTCCTTTAAACTCTGTTTCGCGAAGGCTAATCCAACTGCTGAATTTCGCCTGATATTTTCGGTAATGGCTGTAATCTCAGCGGTAGTCTTGTCCTTCAGACCTGCTCTCAAGTTGTGAACAGGTGGGATTCGTGTCTCTAGAATGTCTAGCAGTATTTGCACAACCATAGGAATCATTTGGCACACTTTGTGGGCGCAAGAGGTGCTTGGATCAAATGCACACTGTCCCATCTGCTCGCCACCTACTTCTGTATCACTAAAAGTATAGACAGCAGTGGCACTGCTACGTGAGCCTGCCCTGCTTTCGTTATTGCTCGCGCGCGAGTCCACGGAGTGCTCACGTAGACATCGCATCGGTTCATTTTCAAACGTCATTTCCCTAATTGAAAGCGAAAGTCTTCGCTTTCAAGTCGTCGACCCGGTATCTGTACCACGTGATCCTCATGAAAATTCAATGAAAGGGTGATCAACACGTGTCCTTTAAGAAATACCCTTTCTTGGGGGACCTACCCTACTATCGCCGTAAGGACCTTTGAGGTTTCTCCACTCTATTATTATTTGAAATATCGTCAATTTCAGATATGTTTACTTTTTCATATTTCCGTTTAAATGTAAGCAACCTCGAATTGCATTTCCTTATATTCGAGTAAAGTTATTTTTTAGGAGCCCTATTATTTGCAACATTCATCAGTATGCCTCCTTTTCAGACGCTAACTTCGGTCAGATGCCTACGTGTCGGCTTGGGTAGAGGTTGGGAATCAAATGACCTTGTAGAGTATGGTAGATAGCAATTTAATAGACGTTGACAGGGCTTAAAACTGGATAACATCTCCATTAATTTTTGCTACTTTATCCACCCCAGCCAATAGTAACCCTATGCCATTCTTTATGGATCCGGTTTAGATTTATTTCATATGTAGTTGGGTGTGGAAAGAACTCGTCTTTAGATTCAGCGCTTTTCGCTTAAGTCCGAAAGATGTAAGATTCAATTCTTGCTTGATTTTTTTATCGCTCAGGTTCCGTCTTGGCGACCACAGTTGCGGACAAACATGCTCCAAACAAGAAGAATCGGTTCGTTGGAATTTGTATTGAGAGAAACAATGAAGGCCTTTGGAGTAACTTCACTCTTCGCAATGTCATCGATCAGACAGGTGAAGAACGTCCGTCTTACCGTCTAGCGTTGTTTGCTGGCTCAGCAATATAAACACACACGCCACATTTTTTACCTAGCCGTAGAGGTGAATTTTGAGCTCTACAATCCAACGCTGCTCTCAATAGAGGTGTTACTGTTGGAGAAGCGTTTAGACCGAAACCTCCTCTACTTACGTGACGCACCCTTGTCTGAGTCCCGTTTCCCCTTCGACCTCGCACCTGTCCCTCATGAAAAGGACGCTCCAGTCCCTATTAACGACAAAAAGGTAGGCACACATCTCACTTACGTAACCTCCGTTGCGTGCCGTGTCCTTTTAGTGCAAATTGGGGATCACGAAAATTCCCTGTGATAGCTTTTCCGAGACCATTCCTACTTTTTTCTACAACAGCGTATTTTGGAAATCTAGCATGTTACTTTTAGTATGTACTGTCAACGGTCACTCTATTTGAATATCTTTGATTTCAAAGGTGAAATTGCTTCCACGACCGTGGCATTTTCAGTGGCACCTACACGGGTACCGAGGCATCGATCTCAAGTCCATGTACAGCCATCTCACTACTGAAGAGTTGAATCAGATTGAAAAGAAGGTTGATCTCATTGACCGTTACGACTTGATGAAAATGTACAGGTGGGTGATATTTTCTAATTGGATAGCAACACTTTTAAGCATATTCTCCTTATACTACATGCTTGTTTAAGTGTTTGGATCGTGAACTTGCACTGATTTTCCACTCAATACAAGGCTATTAGTTTAGCGTTTGTGTTTAGTAAGTCCTGAGGTTGAATGCAGAAGTCACTGTGGCAGTTCATTCTAATTAATGCGGTTATTGGATATTTAAGGGTATTTCCATAATGTTGTGCATCATGAACAACCCATTTTTTAAAGAATTACCTCAACGCACGTTGATTACATACTTGAGTCTGTGTGTAGTAATAATCAAAACACAGTTGATTTTTAACGAGAAGGTTCTTTTAGTTTTGCAACAATACGGCGTATTACAGCATTTTTTACGCAACTTATTGTCTTAATCAATCATTTGTTCTGGAAGCTCAGCATTCACATAATTTGCACAATACGACTTCCGTTTCCTTGACTAAAATCTGCTCTTCTGTGCTCGCTGCTTTGAGTTGAACGAATTTTTCATAAGTCTCAGAGGCCTCTAGATAATGTGGATGTTCTGTAGACTTATACGATAATAGCACATTGCCCCTTAAAAATAAAGTAACTTCTGACGAATACTATGCCTTATAGGATCATTGGCAAAATCCCATTCTGTTTTCCTTAGTGCTCCACTTCAGTACATTTTGCAGTACATCCAATGGGTGTCCTTTTTGTGTGTGTTGCAAGATCGAGGATCACCCCAGCAGAGGAAAATACAGTGATGGGTGAGGTGGGTCGCCATCACACAGAGCTGCTTCGACACATGGACTTCCTGAAGGGTCACTGGCGCAACGGCTCGGCCTCCAATTCCTCTTCTGACCCACCCTAGGAACCGGGCTCTACGATTCTCCTTTTAATAGACGCGTAGTTATGTACGCAATTTGGTCGAATTTGGTGCTTGTAATACGATCAACCGTTGCCACCATGAAGCATTGGTCTCGATTGTTACCTTAATAAGAGGCTAAAGTAATGCTTGCCATATCACTTGTGATCAGTATTGTTCAGCAGAAATCAGTGTATGACGTCTGGTTTCAAATTCAGCGTTCGTAGCATGTTTCAAAGGCCCTAGATGGTTATTTGGATCTCGTATCATAATGCCTGCACTTTTAATTGCGCATGATTTAGCAGAAATAATCACAACTACTAAGTGATTTTTTGTAGCAATCAGTTTGCTTATGACCTTGATTTTGTCGTGTTGTCTAAGCTAAGCAAACTAGAACTGGAGATCAAAATGTTTAATGTCTGAAGACTTCTGCATGGAATTGATACATCCTTGAGGTTTATCTTCGAATAGTCATCATTTTGAAAACTTGCGTACATCACTCTGAACGTTATAAATGCATCACTTGAATGCTGGCGTCGACCCAATGTTAAATTGTAACGTAAAGGTAAACTCACTTGTTGCTAACCAGTTGATCTTTAGCGTTTAAATGGGTGTATTAGATAAAAAAATTCAAAGAAAAGTATTGGAATTTTTCTTGAAGTTTTACACATGAGGCATTCGGTATTTTTATTTAACAATGTGGTACAATAGTGCTGCCTACCGCTGATCCCTGTTGAAAGCTGCAGTCTTGTCATGAACAATCAATGGGCACTTTATTCTGTATTGCATTATAATATGGTAAAACAGGAGATGTCATATTGAACTCTTGACAAAATTTTGTAAACACTCATTAGCAGGTAGTTTGTAGCATCTACGTGGGATTTGCATCGAGAGCCGTCTCCATCAGGTAGGAGGTATGCACAAAGACCTCATTCTTCGAGCCGACTGCGGTTAATATCAGATTTGCACTTGTTCTGAAGCAAAATTGCTGGAATTTAAAGTGGCAAGAATTGCTGCTGGGATTTGACCATCTGCGATTGTTCTTCGCATTTCTTCGGTGCGTTTACGGCTTTGATGTACTGTAAATCCTCGTATTTCAAAGTAATGCTTTACTTTTATGACGCGCAGGGAGTCATCGTGCTGTATGTTAACTTAAAGTACTTTGTGGTTACCGTAATGCCCAGGATCTTGGCACTCAATCTTTTTTCAAGCCATTTCGACTGTCATACAGAAGTGTATTTATCGGCTAGGCTAATATGAGCGTGGAAGCTATTTTTTCAAGCAGATCCTTCGGTCTCAGATTTAGTCACCATTTTTAGCATCACAACTTTACGATCACACAATTTATGCCAATAGCCTCTCAGAGCAGTGTGAGTAGGTCTTATTACGCCTTAAGAGATGGCTCAACCCCTACAGGAGCGCATAGTGTGATAAATTGGCATTACCGGTAACAATATTTCGTGAACTATTGGAGACCAGAGATGACTTACAGTGTTTGCGCAGTCTACCCGGCGGCACCCTCAAGGCGTCTACGGAGGCGGTTGATGTCTGCCTCACTGATGGTTCGGCGAGACCAGCGCGTGAGCTCGACGAGGGTACCCCCAAACAGCATCAGTACGCCCGAGACGATGTAGCTGATGTGCATGTTGCCGAGTTGTAGACTCAGCAGTGTGGCTAGCGGCGTGCTCAGGCAGTACCCCATTCCTGCCGACATTATCTCCCACCCCATTGCATCTGTCAGTCGCTCTCTCTGCACTAAGTCCGCCAGAACCAGTGGGTGTATTACTGTCACTCCTCCTACGAATTCAACATGCTGCTTATTATTCCAGGAAAATTTGAAGTCTTGTAGGCTAGTAATTTGCAGTCCAACGCATCTACAGTAGACCGGAATTCTAGTCTCACTCGTGCACGTTCATTTAAGATGCTTTCACTCATTGAGATATTTGCTTTCATAATTCTTTTGCTTGTACTTTACGAAGTTGCTATATTCTGAGCTAAGTGGTGAAGGTACAGTAACTTGTCAGGCAAAGGCCAAACAGCACCTGAGTGGTTTTACATCTTAGGGTTCAAACATATCATATTTTTTTATTCAAGCATAATCCCTTCTGCCTTGTCACTTTCTCACCCGATTCAGTTTTGGTGTACTTAGTGAATAAAATCTAGGCGGAGATTGCCACTGTTAACACGGGAAGGGCAGCATGCGTAGTTACGTAATAGCAGCCATGCAGGCATGTATTCATACAAATGGAGGATTGATGCATTCAAAATGGTTCGATTCGCATAAGAACGTACCTAGACAAATTCCTATAACACAGGCATAGAATTGCAAAAACATCTGCTGGTGGAGAAAAAAGACAGTGATGTTGATTGCTCCGCCAGCCATCATGAGCACTGACAGCAGGTGGGTCTTGTTCACCCAGCGAAACGTGGCCAGTGTGCCGAATACGAGTCTCGCGATTGCACTGGATATACCCACCAAGGCTGTAGTGCCGGCTGCCGCCTTTGGGCTTAAGCCCTCGGCGAGCAATATATCAAAAAGGAGGATGACTGGGGAGTAGGAGCCCATGGCTTGAATAAACACTGCGGCTAGGAAGACGAGGAAAGAAGCGTTCCTGTGCAACGGCATGCCTTTGCCAAATAGACCAATCTGCTGCGCAATCTTTTCAACCTCAACCAAATAAGTGAATGATCCCAAACTTCCCATCATGTGCTGCATTTTGGGCGTTTCCAGAGTGGCTTTGAGATCCAGTTGAGAGTTCATGAACGCAGCGCTTGTAGTAGGTTCATTGGGGCGGTTTAGGTACCCCGAGCCCAGGATGCCGAGGGCATGAGAATCAAGGCTGAAAATGCTCGCGGTGGGATTGTGCGGCGATTGGCTCATCGGCTGCTGAGGTGGCTTCTTGGGCAAAGCAAGTCCGAGGAGGCAGCCAAAAACACAGGCCTGTAGCAGCAGTCCCGCTGTGGCGATACATAATCCTTTCCAGGTTACTTTTGATTCGACTAGAGGATAGAAAATGCTGTGTATTGAGGCACCTATACCCGAGCCACAGGCCATAATCCCCATGGCTATAGGTCGTAGCTCATCAAAGCCTGTGGTGATGGCAACGATTGCAGTCATATATAGCAGTCCATAGCCAGCACCTGCCAGTGCACCAAAGCATATATACAGTGTTATCATGTTGCCGTGCATCCCGGAGATAAAGTGCCCCATGGAGGCAACGGTTGCTCCTGTGATGGCTACTGGGGTTATTCCAAAGTGATTTATAAGGAAGCCAGTCAGGGGTCCCAGACAGTAGCTGAAGAACATTTGAATGGAACCAATCCATGATAGGACAAAGGTGTCCTTGTTAAAGTACGAGGACCAATAGGATATCAGAATGCCAATATTGTACGCGCAACCATCAACGCAAAAACAGGTGAGCAGGGCTCCTATCAGCGTCAAGGTGTGCCGCACCGAGCATCCCTTCTCTTGGAGGTATTTGGGACAGCATTGTACCATGATTAGATCTTGTCATACACAAAGCATGACAGCAGTGAGAATCACGGGAATTCGAATTCTCTTGATCGATTCGCTAGACAGTTTCTTTAACCGTATTTCACTCCAAAAAGCACCACTGATTTGGAAGTGAATGTTTTGTTTTTACTCATAATTCATGACTAGTTAAGATACTTTGTTCGTTTCGGAATCTTGGACACTGAATTGTTTTTGACAACTAACTTGGTTTGGTGCATAACGTTAAACGTCGCCATCAGATTTATCTGCATTTTGCCAACTCGATTTCAGATCTTCGAGTGCGAAGCGAAAAGGGGTATAATAAAGTTCGAAAATTAGCCTTTATGAGGCCACTTTTACTGTCTTTGAGCCATTTTAGCCTAAATGCGTTGATAATTCATATGATATATGTTTGAATAAACTGATTTCTTTTTATGTTTATGGTGAACTGCATCAATGAATTTTGTTGTTGTTATGCGATACGTTTTGTTCCTATTTCTGCTTGCACATTTGGCACGATTTTTGCTGCAACGCTTTCAAATGTTCGGTTGTCGCCGTTCAGACTGCTTTCTCCTCTTTTTAATGTGGCAAAGTATTGTTAGGAATTCTGATTAAGCTCTCGAACACGTAATTAGGTTCAATCTGCACCCAAAAATGGTGTCGACTGGCATCAGTCAATCAACTAATTTCCTTGTACAGATTCTCCCCTAGAATGTATGTATTGCTCCTGCTATTCATATCTGATTTAGGGGTTGTTGAATTTTCATAAAACTGAAATGCGTAAGGCATTGGTGTTGTTGCACTACGAGGTGACGTCATGTATAAATCTCCGATTCTTCTGCTAACCTTTAGCACTTTTTGACTTCACAAAGTTCCTTCGTCCTATAATTTGTCACGTCAAGTGACATCCGTGAGGAGTCTTTTGTAGACCTGTTCTCATGGTATGGGGTCCATTCGAAACATGTTGAATGATTGAGGCGAAGCTAATTCTAATACTTACAAATCTCCCCATTTTGTGTATAGTTGGACAGTAGACGATATATAGTCATCATAAGTTTTCAATTTTTTCGCCCTATTACAAAAACACTTTCCAGTCCCTCCACTTTTATGCAGGAATAATGAGGGGGTGACAGATTTTTTGAAATTTTCTGTTGTAACTTAGCTGCTGCTTTTCATTTGAATCCAAAGATTATTTATTCGCAATCGCATCTTTATTTTAAAGCAATGTTGGTTGTGATTCTACCACGGCGTTAGTCTGTTTCGCTAAGAAACATTCGTCTGTCAATCTAATCATCCCATCACCTGCACGTACTTTGGAAAAAAAATGGCCCTAAGTCAAATTGCTCGTATTATGCTTTTGCCTGTTCTACACTACAACCATCAATCAGCGACGATGGTGAATTGTGTGGGAAGGTTGGAAGGTCATGCGAACGGCACGCTAATTAAATTTCAACCAAACTTGATCCCATAGATTCAAGGAAATACATTTCATTTTTTTAAAGGGGCGAACCAAGTATATTGCGCTCAGTAATTGTTGTAATAACAATGAACTCTAAATGGCTTAAAGTCTAGAGACACGATTTAAGGTCATTAACACTAGTCCAAAAATAGACTTTAATACTCAAATAAGACGGGTCTTTAAAGAAATTAACTGTCTTTTTTTTTGTTGGTCATAGCATCAAGTTTAAAAGAACTATAGACTAGAAATCATGTGGAAAAATCGAAGGAAGAAGTGATTTTGCGAAAAAGTAGTGTTTTGAAGGTCTGAAACTCTAGCTTCCAGTTCCAACTCTACTGTGGAATTGCAGTTGTTACGATATGTGTAATACGAAACGTCCTTTACAAATGAATTTGCTACTTTTTTAGTCAACGCACTGTAAATCGAAAAGTAAGAGCATAATTGCACAGGACAAAAGTACTGTTAAAAGGGGAGGTGTTGGGGCTTCAGATAAAAACTGTTTGTAGACGTTTCTCTAATGTCTCAGGTTTGATCAAAGCCTCACAGGCGACATCGCATAGCTGGGAGTTGGGTCGTCGGGGAAGCAGACGATCGCCGGGACTGATGGGTGAGCGGAGGCGTTGGGAGGAGTCCGGATAGCTAGTGGACTTACGCCCACTACTACTCGGTTGTTGAGCTGTCTGCATTGTTAACTTGCCACGTAGATCGCCATCTACGCTCAGTTGCAGGCTCTTTCCACCAAGTGTAAGCGCGCCTATCTCCAAGATACTCCGGCTCTGTACTGTACCCCCCTTCATCGTCACCAGATACGGTCCGATGGTGTTGAAAATACCTTTATCTGACCGCTGAATTGAGGAAGGTATATGGGTGTCCGTCCTTGGATGGCCAGTGATGCTGATTGGTGCATGTTTCCAGCCCTGAGGGCCTGTCGTTCCGGTTGTCTTTGGTTTCGCACCACCTCCCACAACAGATGCATTGTAGATTTCGCCTTCTATTTGCAGCTGAAGTTGTTCCACTGCGTCTATTTGAGCAATTCCAATGCCCGGCCTTTCTGAGATGCGTGATTCGAGTTCGCATGTTGTTGATTGCAGAACTGATGGTCCTGAGATGCCCATAATGTCAGCGCTGGACTTCTTTTCCACGATTACTTTAGCTCTTGAAACATTCATTTTACTCGGAACCATTGTGACACCAACTTGACAGCTGGCACTTTCTTTCCTTAAATTCTCTTGTGCAGGTCCAATTTGTGTTAATGACAGTGGGTACGGGTTTAGTGATTCGCCTATTCGTCGTATTTGAAAGGTGCATCTGGAATTTTGATCAATCGCCTTGATCACTTGAGTGGTCGTGGTTTCGCGCACTTTGCCGAACTTTGGATGAGTGTCTTGAACGCACGTGGGTGGGTAGGAGGTGAAGCTCAGGTAGATGGGCTCCGTGGGCCTGGAGATGATGCCCTTTTCTTGCACTTTCAGATTCCGTCCGGTAACATTCACGACGCCCTTCCTCTCTCCAACAGTAATTCCGATTTCCTTTACAGCATGGACATCAGTTACTGTTACTCCAGCAGTCTCAGTTAGTTGGGTTTCAAGATCCACCGTTGATGGACAAATAATGGCATTTGCTTTGAGTCCAAGACTAGTCGCCACGCGCTGTTCGCTGGCGCTGACAGCCATGTCTGCCACATGTACTGTTGTCGGAACTAGCGTGAGCCCAACTTGACAAGAGGCATCTGTTCTTTGTGAACCTATACTGCTTTTTAAACCATTTCCCACTAGTGTCTTAGGCTCAAAACTGCCTGCTAAGGGATGTGGGTACTTCGGTGTAGAATAAGTGGCATTCCTCAATCTGAATTCACAGCCGATATTCTGTAGGTGAAATTTCCCAGTCGATGCGAGTGATCCTACCGCCATTCGATAGGTAGAAAGCTCCCCACGAACCGCTTCTGGGTGGAATGACTTTATCTCCAGCACGCATGACTCCACCTTCGATTTAGCCATTTTCTGTGTGCTCGCAATGTACGATTTTTCGCCCAAAATAACATTCATGGAGTCCATGGTTGCTACTTCCCTTATTTGTATTCCAGAGTTTTCCATGAGTCTACTTTCAACTTCAACGGCCGCCGGATAAACGATTGTGCCGGAAGACGCGAATGACGTTGTGCTTTTAGAATACATTTCAACCCCTGCCACATTCAAACAGGTAGGAGTGAGGACAGTTCCGACTTGGCAAGATTTCGATTCTGAAAGAACTGCTTTGGTCATCACCAAGGCTGACGCCAATGTGCTGTATTGATGCGAGGTTTCGACACCTTGCGTTTCCAACACTCTCGGCATCGTCTTCACAGAGGCAGACGCCGTTCTTTCACTACCTCGACAAGACGTACACACGCCTCCAATGGATGAGTTTCGTAGTACGACTTCGCAGCCAATGTCATTTAGAGTGAAGCTATCGCAAACAGTGCCAACGTTCCGCATAGATGCAGGGGGTGAACTGTGTCCGATAGTAAGACCGTCTCCGTTGCTCTTAATGTTAAGTAGTAGATGAGGTTTTTTTTGGGTATCTGTAGCAACTGATGACCACTGAGGTCGTTGAGTTTGAACATCCGCGTCAATAACAATTTCGCCAACTTGAACTTCCGTATGAGCCACATCTGCTACATTGACAATCTCTATTCCTGGTGCCTCTCTTATCTCTGGTATCATTTGCACTCTAGCCGGACAGAGCACTGAATCGACATTCATGCCCAAATATTCAGCAACTTTTCCGTTTCTCGGTTTTACGCCAATATTACCAATTTCAATGGACGACGGGCGCAATACCGCACCTACCTGACATTCCACGGTCTTTGTGACAGGTGTGCTTGCTCTCTGATGGATGAATGAAGGCTTTCTGCTGTAGTCTACTGATGTACTCCGGATCGGAGAGAAAGCCGTCAGGGAGCTCTCAATCCGGCCCCTGCCATGACACTGGTTACAAACTGCCCCAACCCTTGCACTCTTTATTGCGAACTCACAACCTACATCCTGCAATGTAAATGTTTTTGCGTTCGACACCGACTTAGGCCCAATCTTTTGGATTTGCGCCTGCCCCAGAGTGAGACCCGATTTGCCGCCAGTAATGTTCATGTTGTCCATAAATGGCTTACCGCCTGAAATGCTCTGCCTTCGCAAATCAGTTACACGTTCGCAAAAACTCGTTTTGAAGAGCGATGTGTCCGCAACGAGTTCCATGCTGCCGACCTCCTTTACGTCCATCACCTGAATCCCAGCATTTTCGGCCAACTCTGTCTGTAATTCAATAGTTGAGGGACAGATTATTGCATTCGGAGTCATACCCATCTGTCTAGCAAGTTCAGCTGTTCTTGGTCGGATTTCTACGTTAGCAGCATAAACTCGTGTAGGTCGGAGAATCGCACTGACCTGACATTCAACGCTCGACACTTCAGGGCCTTTGATTTTCTGAGAGGCAAGCGGTTGATAGGTAGTAGAAGTGGCAGAAGTGGGTCTGCGTTCTTGGGGACTCACTTGGACTGAAGTTCTTTTTCCGCTGCCGTGGCAAAAGTCGCACAGTTCGCTCACTTTCGTATTGACTATTTCAAATCTGGCTTGCTGCAGAAGTGGTTGGTCGCTTACACTGTAAACCTCTGATTTCTTTACCAAAGGCACTGTTTTCTCAGGTGCCAAATCTCCTTTACTGTGAGCAACGTTACCTTGACAAACCCAATTGCGTGCACTTGCATAGAATGTGGATCCTTCGGCTAGAATATGCACAGCATCGACCTCAGAAATATCTTTCACCTTGATACCACCTGTTTCAGTAAGCGAAGAAACGAGCTCAACAGTAGAAGGGCAAACAATGTTTTGCGCTCCAAAACCGAAATTGCGAATTTCGGGTGGAGCCTTGGATTTTGTACCGACTCCAACGATTTGGACTCTAGTGGGGGTCAGAATTGTGCCCACTTGAGTTGACTGCGAGACTGTCGACCAAGGTTTTCTTGAAGTCGAAGCCTCTGTTATAGCTGAACTCACCCGAGATGTTTCAAACTGACAGTGACAGGTTGGGCAGACAGAAAGCTGATTAATCGTCTCCTGTTGCCGTCTCTGACCATTCAGTGTGATTGTGAAGCCAGCCTCTGTAAAACTAGGTGAAGCAGTCATCGTGTAGTCATCCGCCTGCCCATTCTTTGCACTCATTTCCAATGTGCAAATTTGACGACTATCATGACTCACTTCCTGTTGAGTTCGCATTCTAGAAGTTGGAGCCACCGATGCATTATACATCCGATTGGCTATCTTCACATTCAAATGATGCAGATCCTGCATCTTGGCCACATTAATCCCTCCATCCTCAGTGAGCACCGGCTTTACAAGAACCCTTGTTGGGCAGATAACAGCATCCAAAGTTTTATCTCGACGGCTGGATTGGTCGACTTCGGTCACTTGGAGGGGTACTGTACTAATTTCCATGATTTCTGGTTTTAAAATTGTTCCTACCTGACATGAAACCTCACTATAAACGCGTTTCGTTCCGCATGTGGCTAAGTAGATTGGCTCGGAAGAAGAGATTTTAGAAGAGTGTTCAAATACATCGCGTTGCAGCCCATTAACTGTCAAATGACACTTTGCCTCCGCGGGTAATCTTGGTGCTGCTGGGCTGCGATCCGCAGTTCTCTTGGGGAAATAGGCACTCCCACGATTCATTTTAGGACCTGTTGTGCTGAACTCAACCGCACTGGCTTCTCGAGGATTCATGTGAGAGGCTAGTAACGTTGACTTCTGCTTGCCCATCTGTGTTCCTTCTACGGGCGTGCGTTCTTTTGTTTGGATATTCACCAGCCTGACCTCTTTTGAGTCAGCAATCTTAAAGTCGTCATCCACAAGCCAAGGTCTTTCAGCCACTACCCTATCATCGATTTTAGCATTCACCGTTGAAACTTCAACTTCTCTTGGGTCGAGCTTAAGACTTACCGTTTGGCACCTTATCGTCCGCCTATTTTCTCGCATTCTCATTGGTGTTTCACATTGAGCGTAGCATGGCGGAGTAAAGTGGAATGACATCGGCTGATGAAGAGCGCAGAAATGGTTCGACGATAAGTTTTCCATCCCCTGCATTCCTTGTGGTACAATCTCAAAGCATGTGCATTCAGCAACAATCTTCGGTTTGCTCATACCGTTGACTATCGCAGCTTCTACCAGGGCTGGTCTGCTGACCTGCAAGTCAATATCGGAGAGGGTTTGACCATTGGCATTTAGTTCACAATAGGAGGTGTCTTTTGCAAAACCTTTGAAGTCCCCTTGAACAAGATTCTGCTGACTAGCACATTTAAGGTATTCCACCCCATCAAAGGCCTTAGGAACTTTGGGAGCATGGGAAATTTGAGCCTCAGCATCGAAGAATTTTAGTGAACATGGTGTTGTTTCCATTTTTACGGAGGTCTTGTCAATTTCTGTTTGGAGATTTGTACTATTAAGGGTTCGCCTGAGCTCTACGCTGCCGGTCTTTAATCCTGATGGGCCCACCTGAATGTCACTCTCTTTCTGTTTTGGTTTACTCTTTATGTTAGCTGATTCTACTGTGCGATACTCCAGATCTTGTTGACTACCAAAATTTGATGTCGACTGAATTTGTGTTATGATATCGCGACTTTCCTTTTTGGTTTCGATATCCAATCTCCCCGTGGCCACATGAGCTTCAAAAGTTCCAAAATCAATTGAATGAGAGTCGGATTTAAGTGCTCCAGATTTACGATAAGGTGTACTGCTTTCGGAACCCGTCCGGGCTCGGGAATCGCCAATCTGGAAAATCAAATCTTGTTTCTTCACACCAGATGTTGCAGTTTCATGGTAAGCAGTTGCGCCTTTTGCTCGGCCAGTAGTGTAGGTCTCATGCACCCTGTCAGGTATGGCTCCTTCCGTTGCAGAGGCAGAAGATGGGGTATGCTCAGCAACCTCCATGGCTGCCGATATGATGGATCCATCAACTTGCTGTGCTTTTTGTGCTTTAATCAAACCAATTTGTGTCATACAATCCACTCTATTAGAATCACTCTGCGTGCCTGCGAATTTACAGCTGACAAGGTTGCCAGTGAGCTCTGTCTGGGTGTTTCGAATAACACGATGGTTAGTAGTTTGTGTTGGAAAATCACGAACCATCTTTGGCTTTTGTGCATTAGCTTGCTTCACGTTGAGATTACCGTGTGTCTGCCTCGGATGCAGATTAGCTCCACATGTGAACACCGTTGATTTCCCATTACGGGACACATCTTTAGCCTGTAAGAGAGCTACATTCATTTTGGGGCGTCTGTGGCCCCGTGTTTCCAGAAACTCCATGTGTGAATCTTCTTCCTCTTGAGTTGTAGGAAGCTCCATGGGTGTAATGCGTCCGAATGGAGATGGAGGTAACGGGACGGGCGGGAGTTCTTCTGAGGAGATTCCAGAACTCGATGAGACGCTAGAGATAATGAGACGTCCCACTCCACTAGTAGGTCCATTGAGAGACTCAGTGTATACCGTCCTCCAGTTGTGCACGCGATCGTAGAGCTCCTTCAATTCTGCCCGGTTTCGATCATATGTCATTCTGCAAGGAAAATTAAGATATTACAAATGCAATCGCTACATTGTTTTTTAATAGTGGATGTTACAATAAACACCTGAGACTTTCCAGCTGAGCCTGGAGTCCATGAGCCTCCGAAGTGATTGTTGATGCGTATTCCCTCATGCGATTCGTATACAAGGCTACGTTTTCGTCCATTCTTTTGATGGATTGAACGTGTTCGTTTAGTATCAGTAGAGGTTGATGAAGAAGACTTAGTTGCGATCGGTTCCAAACTTCGTTTGCCTGTTCTGGTCTCGGAACTAAATAAAAATTATTAAGATGAATTAAAACTAAATTGTGAGGCTGCGTTATAATGTCGAATTATGGCCGCATAATGTTGAAAGTATGAGCTATTCAAAATGTTAGTTGTTTTATATTACTCTTTTTCATTTTCAATTTTTTCAGCTGGAAAACTACCTTCTCTTAAAGACCTTTATAAAGGCGTTTTTCAAAAATTCAAAATTGTGATATTGAAATTAGAAGTGTTTGAACGAGCGTTAACTCTGCGGTATCGAAGAGAACTTGGATAATTACATAGCAGGGTTGTGTACGCATTTTATACGCATAAGATGTCAGTGATTTGGTTCTTACCACAGTGAAAAAAAATGGAAAAACTCAATGAATACTTGACTAACATATTACAATCAATTGTTCTATGAAAAATAGTGATGTTTCCGTTTTTATTTTGGCCTATATAAAGTACGTTTGTTTTGAACTTGCATTTAATTTATTTACCACCTGTGTAACTGATATTCTCTTTTTGTGATTTGTGATTGCGGTAAAACAATTTGAACTGCAATCACAGGCCAACTAAAACTTCTCTCACTTACACCGTGCGCTTGTGTTTATAGTCATAGGAATAAGAGAGTATTTGCAAAACTTGCCTATTTTACCCGAGAGCATCTCCAGGATATTGGCTAGATGACCTTCATCGGCATCTGCCTGTATGAGAAGTCGATCAAGATCCTCCAAAAAGCGTCTTTTTCCATTTGAATCAGTCGTATAAAGACCCTTTTGAAAAGTAGCGCGAAATATGATTTAAGATTACTTCTAAACGATGGGGTAACACCAGTTTGGTTGGGACTCACACCACGTTGTCCAACGCCCTCGAGATAGTTGCTGTAGTAGATGGCCAGTTGTCGCCTGTAGTTTTCAACCGAATCGTTCCATGCATCTTTGACGGTGGATAGGGTTCTAAGAGAAAGTTTGTAGTGCTATCACAAGAACTTGACATGAGATAGCAGAAAAGAATTTCATTCAAACCGTAGTACTAGATAAGGCTTCATGCTTGGAATTCATTAACTTTGCAGAGCAGGGCATAAAGCTTTTTTCATTTTGTGCATTTCAGGATCAGCGTGTTCCACTTCGGTATAGCACATTTTAAAAACTAATTGAGTCGTAGAAGAGTGCAATTTTTTACTGCAAAAGTAATTTTTATGCACTTTGGACAAATCGCCATGTTTATCAGTGCCGATTTTGGCTACATTAAATAAACTATTACAGACTGCGCATTTCCTTATCCAGCTTTGACCTAGGGAGTACGCCAATCCACTGCAGATGTCATAAGTTCGAATTTTGTCATATTTTCATGCAAGCGAAAATTTCAGAAGCCGAGTGGTAGCTTGGTATTTGACAATATAAGTGTGTGTACGGATATCTATCGTATTTATTCAATGATGTAGTAACCTCTACGTTAAAGTATCTGAGTACAACGGATAAGCATGGCTTTGTTTGTTTTATGAGTTTTAAAAACTCACACAATTTTAGGCAGTCTTTAAGATTATCTAGGTAAGGCGTGCCAATTTCTATCTAAAAATCTTATAGAATGATTTGATAATCAGTTATTGTTGGGTATTGAATCATTGGAGGCCTATAGATCTATGCATTAATATACAGAAATGGAAATGATTTCGTGAAATTTACTTTGTGTTCTCCACATGGGCTTTTCTTTTAGATCTTCACTGACCGATTTTTTCCAATAATTCTTTGAATGGTTGCTCCCTAAAATTCGTGATATTTTCAGGCCTTGTCAGTTTTACCTTGTCAATCATGCTTCCATTCACCATTGTTTTAATGATGATGCAGAAATCTGATCGAGGTACTTTTTCTTCTTTTATCATTCGTATCGCCAATTCTATTTTCCTCTCCTCCTCAAACACTGTTTGCATTCACCCAGCAGTACGTGCGGAATACGTTATCAATGAAATTTCAGTCCTTATGACAAATATTGATGTCATAAATATAAAATTAGTCCGTACTTAGTTATTAAGGTATGCATATGCATTCAGTTGCGCGGGGCAGTATAGGGCTATACTCAAGGACGAGTGCTTCATACCACAGAAAACTCACTTATAGGCATCATGAATCTGCTCGCCATTTGCAGAGGCGATAATGCAGGCAATGGAAGGGATATACTGTGGTCCATTGGACGTCATAACCTTCCACAAATAGGGGTTCTCTGTGGTATCGATGAGAGGCAGGGAGTCGCCTTTCTTCACGGTGAAGTTGCTCCCAACGTAGTCGATTAGCAGCTGCACCATCAACGGGCCACCGAGATCGGAGGCCCCTGCCACTCCACCGCGCACCTCGAGAAGGCGATTCTCCACGGGCAGAATGGAAGGTGCCTTTGAAGCGAGGGTCCGAGCCCGATCTGCTAGACTTTGGAAGGCATTCAGTCTCTCCTATGTTGGGAATTTTTTCAAATAAATTATCTTGAGTCCTCAGTTAGAGACGTCGTTCACTAGGCGATGTATTCTCAAAGCTTTAATTCGCTTGAACTGAATTACTACTGAGGATGCCCCGTTCCTGTTCGACTTTCTAGAAGTTCGAATTGGGAGCTTATCTCCGAATATTCTAAAAAGTCTTTCCTGATTGGCTCATATTAAGCCGATGTATTCTAAGTGCACTGACAACCACTCGAAGATCAAGGCCAATCAGTTACTATAAGGTCATGTGACTGAGGTCACTGACAGATGCGTTCATGCTCAAGCGGTCTCCATCTGAGAGCCACCAGGTTCATACGTACTGACCGTATCCCCCTCTGCTCACTCACTACATCCGTAATCGACACCTCTACTGTCATTATCTATTAAGTATCTGGTTGGTGGCTCCCATATGATCCAGACGACTCGAGCACACAAAATCTAGGTTCCAGCTATTGGTGACGCAGCTGTAACATTGGCGATTTGTCTGGACATTGGATTTGTAGTCAGTCAAGTGCCTAGTCACATCTAAAAGGCTTGAGTCGATATGAGAGAGCTTTTCGTGTTAAGTTGATTCTCTAGTTACTGCCTATGATGGTATATCAATTTCGTCAAATTTCCCACTTTTTCTGTTGATGGCTATGTAAATAATGGGGGACGGGGCTACGTCATATTTACACATCCTGTTTTGCGTCAGGATTTGTACTGAGTTAAAATTCAGAATTGTTTACCTTATTTTGTTTATTCGTTTACTAATTTTGATGGTTTCCAGATGTCTGAAAATGTTTTAAAGCATTTTAAAACCAAAATATGACTTTACAATGCACACTTCACTGATACAATGACTTTCAGTCCCAATGCGTACCGCTGATAAAACTGTTTGTACCAGACACCTTTAAGGAGAGTGGAAACGAGATTTACTGCCTAGCAAAGGCCTTCTTAAGTGCGGCCTCGTTTATAGTTGTCCTTCCACAATAACTACACCTTCTTACTCGTTAGGATTTATCAAATGAGATCTGAAAACCAATAAACAGTGCAATTTACGCGATAAATAAAAAGGATAGAGCTTCCGGAATACTTTAGATCGAAAACGTAGCCGAAACTTTTGCTGATTTTAAAATGCTCTACTGGTCAATTTCTGCATGTTCAGTGTTTTTCAAACTCACTTTCATCTCGTGGGTTAGATTAGATGCCTCGCCAATGCGTCCCTCGGGCGAAAAGGCTTCTAACTGCTTTCTCGAGAGATCTTTTAATTGACTGGCGTGGGCGCGCACCTCATTGGCCTCGTGGTTGAACTATTGAGGGTCGCATGAAAGATTAGAAAAGGAAAGGTCATCTGAACTTACTATATGAAAATCCGCTGCTGCTTTCAGTTGAATGGCTGCGAGATTGGATAGTTGTGCTGTGTAGTCCCAGCATTGCTTCACATTATCAGTGAGGAACTAAGATATAAAAAAGTTTACTGATTTAGTAGTACGGCTTGCTCAATTAGTAAACATTTCTTTTTGATTTGTAAAGTATGCCTTCCAAAATTAAGTACGTTGTAGAACTTGGCTACGAACATTTTATCCATTTAATTTCGGTCCCATTTGCAATTCTAAAGACATGCGGACAGTCTACTATGGGTGCTACTAAATGCTGCTTCATGAACTTAATCCTTCTATTTGTGCCATCGCTAACCCTTTCTTTCTTGAATCATCTAAACGAATTATTCCATCGCGCTTTCTGCAAGTGTTGCGCCTTCTTGGTCTGATTTTTAAAATGCGTTTTTGTGCAAGAGATAAGTCAAAACTATTTCAAGAGCTATCTTTCGTCAGTAAGATTCAATTTTCTTTCATGGGTTTTGTTATAACTATTGCTCTCGTCATTATTATCGTGGTCTAAAAAGCATTTGTTTTTCATCCGTAGTGGTAGGTTCCATGTTTTTTGCTGCTTAAGGACTGAAGAAGCACTTACCCGTGATGAGAGGGCATGCTGCGAAACACTGTCCTCAGCGCTTAATCCTACGGCTGTAACTGTTGCAGCTTTGGTTACGTCCTAAAAGACGAAGAAAAGAAAGCAACTATCAGGTTCCCTCTCGTTTTTGTTCCTAAAAAACGGAACAACCAAGGATTCTGTAAAATGATTTTTAGCAGTTTTAAAAAAGTGAACTGCAAATTTCTAGAAGAGGATACCTTCTAAATCATTACCTTTGGCCACAGTGGCATGGCGGTTTCAAATTTATTACATAGAGCCTTCATACTTTTAATCCCATTATGTCAGATGAATAAACTTTTCTGCGACTTTGAGAACTTATATTTTGCTAAATCTTTTGCTCATTCAAGCTTATTTTTTTGTGTTATTGTTGCCTCCCCTTTATACAGATTCTGGATATAGAAATTGCAAATGCACGATGGATAATAATGAAACTATTATCATATTCAACGCAATTTTTAAAAAGTGTCTTTTGAAGCTTACCGTGAATATGCTCTCCAGACAAGAAATGGTTTCAAGGTAGCGTAGGGTCTCAGTATTGCCAGTCGCAACCTTCTACATTTTTACACAAATTATTGATATACTATGGAATGAGGGACATACCAAAAGCCTTCGGGCATTTTCCAATTCCAAATTGCCAGTATCAGTTTTCTGAAAGGCACGAAGTGATGTAACGTTGGTGTGTTGTGTGAAGCGAGGCTTACATTATTTCCCAGTGTGATTACGAGTGATTCGATGCGCTCGCGAATGCGCGTATACCTCTCACGCTCCTCATCCAAGGCCAGGTGGCTTACGCCCACTTTGAACTCCACAACTTCAGCCTGAAAGTTAAAAAAATCAACTTATTGTGAGTTTTGCTGCCTCACAGCAAACAGTACTGAGCTGCTTCTACCTCATTAAGCTAAATTATGCAAAAATGCGCTTTTTCTACGTTCAAGCAATTTGATACATCTCACCATTTACCTATGGTTTAATCTTTTTCTTTAACGGAGTATTCTACCTCTTTTTGCTCAAATAAGGCTTTATATAAAAAAAATTATACGGTGTTCTAGGTAAAAGGCATCTGACCAGTACTTACTAACCTGAATAGCCTTCAGTTGTGAGGATATCACGTTGAGGTCTAAATTTAGAAAATAAAGCAAATGTCAAAGTATGATCCAAATCGTCGTCGTCTAAATAATCACATGCTTAACTGTGCATTGTTCTGTTATGCTGTGCCATTTTGTGAGGATGTTGTTCATCAAGTGTCTTGAGGTAAAAATGCAATACGAGAGACTAAGTCATATCGCTCAAATTTCATTATGCTTAAATTTATGCTTTTGGCTTTTGCAAATTATCTCATCTGCGTTTGATAGTCTGGATCTTGACAAAAAGCGCCCCCCTTCTCCACACCGAAATTCTCACAACAATGGCATGATGCTCTACGAAGAATGTAACTGAAGTACTGAACACAATGCGCCAAAATTTTCATTTGTTATATTACGCTTTTCCAATATGCATTCACAAAAAGTTATAAAGATATGTTTTATGGCTTGAAGTGGATGATTTGTTCGTAGAATTTCTGTAAACAGGTTCGATTATGGGCACAGCTGATGCCTCATTAAGTGCCTTAACGTCTAATGAAGGTTGGAAACATCCTTTTTACCACCATCTTTGAATTAATGGATCGAATCGCAAAATATTCTTTGTACTGGATTTCACCGTGATCTGCGAATATACTTAATCCACCCACTGACATAAGTCATTGGTTTAAAAGTATTCCCTTGTCTCGTTCGCCTCTAATACTATGATATAATATTTAAAAATGGTTTTGCCCTCGGTATTACGCAAAGGAGGACCCTCAAACTTCAAAACTAAGGTCTACGCATAAAGCGATAATTTGCCCCTGTTTACAGTAGATGTTAAATTAATCAGAGGTGTAAAATTGTGATGTTTTGCATTAGTTGAAATGCTTTGCGGCAGCATACCTGCACAAGTCATTCACGGGCATGTTGGCACAAACATCTAAACTTAGTTCCCACAAATTACACAGACTTTCTAATCAACAAGTTTCCATTTCAGAAACCTCTAGTCCCTAATAAACGAGAAAATTCTGCATTTAACCGTTCTATGCGAGGTAGCAATCTGGAGGCAAGCTTTACTTAGAATTCTCTGGAATTCTTGAAAAAAATATTTAAGCATAATACATTTTAGTGACTTTCTGAACCATGAAATTGATTTTGCTTCTTTCGGATTCGGCAATGATGCCTTAAAATACTTTGTCATAAGTTTCATTTTCTCAAAAGCTATTCGTGCCCATTGCTTTTAATCCCATTATGAAAGTACCTTTTATACAGCTTCATTAGGTGTAAGGTCAAGACGGGATCAGTTCGATGTCCGTCTGAATAATCATAGATTTCATGTTTGTCCTAAAAAGAGAGCCACTGATAATTTTTAACTTATATACACTTTCAAAATGTCTTCTGATCCTGCATAGACACGTAGGGAGGCCCCTAATGTACTCATTTGCGACTTGTTTTCGAATAACCTTGACGTCATTGTGGACTTTAATGTTGACTAAAATCGGCACGCATTTGTAAATGACTACCACGAAGCCTTTAAGACATGAGACTAAGAACTTCTAGGCGGAGGATTAGTTGAAGAATCGGTGTAATTAAAAATACATATTTTGCAGTTTGTAGACATTGCAAGTTCATCCATTTCAAACTACATAGTTTGTCTGAATGGGTGAGGGAATTGGCGTCCCAAACCCGGCTTAGGGTAATTTGTCCAGTTGCCTAGCGCTCTATGTGAAAACATTGCTAGAGCTGTCACTTACTCCCAGTTGACAGTTTTAGATGTCGTATGAATGAGCAGGATTTAGCATGTAGTTCTTTAACTACCAAGTTTAGAAAGCATATTTTACGTCCTTAAAAGAACACTTGAAGTTTCATACCTTGCTTTGGCAGCCATCATTTGAATGAAGCAACACCTTTAAAAGTCAAATTTACTTCAAAATGCCTCAACACTACGTATCCAGTGGGTTAAAACAAATCTTCCAGAACCGTGTAACTCGTATCGAAAAATGGCATTTATATCGGTCAAATATGTTTAGCACATACCTTCAGGCATTTCTTAGAAGAACTCAACTCGAAAGTAGTATATCCTTTCCAAGTGACAAATCTCCCAATCCCAAATAAGAAGCTAGCTTTCGGGGTACGAAGGAGGTAATTCCTCAAAGCGAGGTGGTGCGAAGTTCGGAGTCGCCCTCCCTTTAACTGTGGTTGTAATTTCGCTTAGCGAATCTGCCAGCGTCACCTCTGAACAATGGCGCACTGTTGATTGGTCAAGCAGAAATGTAGGGTGTAAGTTAATGAGGCGTCGTCGATGTTACCTTGCTGCATGAATGCAATCTCTTCACCCTCTCCTTCATATTCCCCTCCAATTACAAGCGCACACTCTTGATTAAGATTAAAGTGAGGCTCTTGATGCATGTGGTTCCACTGGCATCAGTTGGTGTTCACGAGTGGCTCAGAATGCGTCATATTCATAGCCCCCGCTATTTTTAAACTATAACAGTTGTAATTCACCTTTCGTGATCGCCACTCGGAGACCAATGGAGGACTATTTTATTTTTATTTCATCATGCCAAAAAAAACAAAGGAAACAATTAGTAAATAAATAGGAATTACGCGACATTACTTGTGTGGCAGTACTACAGAAGGCGAGGAGCTCAAAACCAGGTAAATGAAGTGAGACAGTTAAAAAGAAATGCTACAATAACTCGAAAATCACCTCATTTTTTGTACATGCCCTCAAGTTTATCTGAGCTTTTATATGCGCCGATTCTTTTGCTAATTTGTTGCATGCTATTTTGTCTATTAATTACTTTCAGGCAAAGTCTGTGATATTCGCAAATGATAGCGCTTGATGACTTCAGAAGTTTCAGTATTCGTAATAGCACTTTAAGGGCTGTACCCTCCGTAGTTATCCATTGGTTTATATCATAATGTTCAAGAAGTGATATTCCAAGTTGCCCTCAATTTCGGTTATGATTCCAGTTTTCTTGTAAAAACTTTTCACTGGGTTTTACGGGGCAGTGAATGTAGAACGTGGTTTCAATACGTGCTCTCATAAATGCGGTTCGTTTCAAATGCATTACATATTAAAGAATAAGAGTGAAGTGGAGGAAAAAATCCCTACTTCTTCCAAAAATCTAAAAAAGCATTTCCAGTTGTGATAGTGAAACTGGAGAGAACTCCAGTGAATGCCACCACATGCCCACTGCTTGGTTGCAGTGGTTCAAATGCCTAATAAATTAATTGTGCAGAAATAAGTAGACGTTCCATCACGGACCAAAAAGCGCGTTCTTTTACCACCATAATGTCCTCAGGCTTCAAAGAATAAAAATAGCATAAAAATAATGGCAAGACGTATTTTAAAACACTACATTCACTTTTGTATTAATCGAGTGACTTATTTGATTCCCCTTTGACGTGTTCCTGCCTAAGCTTTTGGAAAAATCCTAAAAATTGCACCCCTGGTTCCGTTCGTTGTGTCATTTGGGTGCCGGTTTAGAGGATGGAATGACTCGTGCGCACCACATTCCTCCATTTTTCCCGCCATACAAGCATATTCTTGTCTTTAAAGGTCTCGACATCAGCTGCGATGTGTGAGACGCACAGATTTATGAGAATTCCAAGCGGTGCACTTCAAAATCATTAGAGCCTTCAACCCTTAATCAAAAGTAAGGTGGAGATGTGATCCAAAAAGAATGAAAGGTAATTAGGAGGAGATTAATTGGTACTTTGCATTTGCAGAAAAAATTAATCAACTGGAAGCACGCACATTTGGTTGCATGAGTTCACTCCCATGAGACATGGCAGTGTTCTCCATGCAAGGTTCCTTACATCGATGAAAACCCACCGTTTTATCAGGGCTGGAGCATTTCCGTGAATAACCTTTTCAAATAATTTAAGAAAATTAGGTAGTAACTCCTCTAATATCTTGCCTAAATGATGGTGAAGGAATTTATGTACCAATTCCAACGTTAACCCCCCTTTTCAACTTCCACGACCCACGAGGAGCACACAGTTTCATTTTTGCCTTCTTCAAATTACGCTCAATGTGGTCAAGATGTATTTCAAGAAAGGCTTTACATTTGAGAAAAGTTCAAATTGCTTTAGTTTGGCAGAAGGGTAGTCAATCTTCTCTTTAATTTATTGGTACAAATATGACAAGCATGCTCTTACCCACCAGAAAAGTGCAAGCAACTATCACTTCACCTTCCAAAATTCCTTAATAACTCGGGGTATGTTCAAAGCCCATTAATAAGTGGAAAGGCGTTTTGGAAAGAATTTGCCTTCAAATAAGAAAAAAAGGATGTTTACTTGTAAAATTATCTTCTTCTCGAGTGTCCAGTCCTTTACAAGTTTTTGAAGCGAAGACCACCTGTACGCCAGTCATTATACAGTATCAAGTAATCGTAAAATGGTTAAATGAAGAGTACCCTGAAAATTGGTGCAAATTTCATTCATACCGTCAGCTGGGAAGCCCATTAAAAAATTGCTAGGAAGCTCGAATCCGATTTGAATATTTATTCTTTTATTTTTTTCTTGGTGTACTGTCGACTTAATCCTGCCATAAGAACTTTAGCGTGGCTACATAGACTCAAAAACTCGTCAAAAAGGCTCTCATGGTCAATTCAGCTGAACTGACAGAAAACTTTTAAGAGGGTGCCTCCAATTTTATACTTTGAAATGTTTTTGATGTGATTAAAGCGAACAGAGCGTATTTCCCGCACCACGCTTTTTCAAATTGAGAGGATTCTATGTTTGAGCAAATTTTCAGGGGACTGAACCCACTCTGTGTAATACTTGTGGTAATAAAAAGAATCCACCACTTGGATTAGCAGATTTGGGTAGTATTCCCTGCACCAAAAGTTCCGCCGTTGGCTGATTCAATTGCATCACTTGGATTTAACTCAAAAAAAAACAAATTTGCTTCAGCGCGCACTGTAATCGTTTATAAAACTCTGTGACAAAACTAAGATTAAGATTTTAAAGTAATTTTGGAGAATGCACCCAAGAATATAAGGCAGCTCAAGTGGTCTTTATCAAGCTTAAAAATAGGAAAAAATAAGTCACTAACGCGACCTTGGTCACTAATGAGGCCTTGATGTAGCACCCAGCGACCCCCCTGACGAGGAAGGGCCTGGGGAGCAAGTGGTATCGCACGAAGACCAGGTCGCCCGGAAGGGGCACAATAGTGGCGACCCAAAGTAACCCTTTACCAGAACAGAAAGTTTAAATACAGTTAACGTTTTACACTTAGTATTAGTTAAACATCGTCGATGTCCTTTTGGTAGAAGCAAACAACCTTGGAAAAATAATTCATTTACGCTGTTGATTTCCTGCTCTTTTGCTCAAAACCTATCCTCTTTAAGATTTAGCAGTGCGAATTTGTTCCACCCTGACTATGAGATTTATTCGCATGAGGCATCCTGTCATTCACCATGACAAGTTAATTACTTATTCAGATACAATGTAGGCACTCACTCTGTTTCGTCAATTTTTCACTTAAACCAGTGTAGGTACGTTTTCATACTGCGCATACATATTTGACCTTGTTAAAAGTGGGCTTCGAGTGCTACGGTGAATGCTTAAATTGATAATGGTTTTATTTAAAACATCACTTTTGCATGCTTTTAAACGCGCTACTTCTTGCCAGAAATAGTGCAGACACCCATCCTGGTGCATCTGAAATACAAGTTTTGCATTTATGTTCCTTGTGGATTTGTGGAATCTCCAACTCGTCTTACTCATGGATGCCTCTCCAGGTGTTACAGATTTCCCAAGTGCATGCTGCTGAAGACGATGTGTGTCACTCAAACGGAGTATTAAAGAGTTACGCCTAGCAGGAGAACCCACTGAAGGAGAAAGTCATATGGCCAATTACTTCTTCCGTGCAACCGATTACACCCTCGCAGCGCTAGATGCACTTCGTCATGCAAAAACATGCTCTACAAGTGTCTTCCTGTTATTTAGCAGTATTGATTGTTGTTCGGATGCGTTGCCATTCAATTGCCACAAAACTTGACTTGTCGTCATTAGGATTTGGCCCCGGATCAGTACCAAGTCTATCTCGACTTCTTTCATCGCAACAGTCAAATGCTTTTGTACTAACGTTTGTATGCTCAGAGCCTGTGACTCCCTTGCTATCTTTAATCCTTGGTCTGAAACATTTCATCGCTGTTCACTTTCGAATTAACGCTGTTCCTACGTATCTTACCTTATCAATGTCATCTTTAAAGGACGTCCTCTTCCGTGAACAATGTACTTAGTTCAATAATAATAAAATTTTTTTGGATCTGAGTGAACAAGCTTATTGACAATAAGCGCCACTAAGACCCCTTTAATCAAAAGTGTCAGTACCTCCGATTTCTCAATTCTACTTTTTACTCATGTTCCTTATTACCTTTAATTCATTTACGTGTTGAAAATTTCTGCATTTTGCTAGACAACTGTTTTAAAATATTCTGCCTTCGTGATTTGGTTGGCTTGTGGAATTTGGCCGCAGACCAACCTGGAAGGAAGCACATCAGTACCGTGCGGTTGGAAAGTTTATTTTTTGCGTGGCTGTTCCGTTTAAGTCTTTAAAATAGCCTCTACCTCTTCACGCACGCCTCATTAGTCTCCGTGGAAAAGGCGGTTGGTATATATTGGGAAAGCATTTGCTCTAGTTTTTACGACTACAGACATTTAAAACTAAAAAGTATTGCCTTTAGGTGGTTATTAGAATTTTACTCTCTATTATGAAAAGGCGAATTATTGTGTGCAGGGTTCACCACATGCGTGGGTCCAATCAAAGCTAATTAACTTATCAGAATGGCAACGCTGAGGGGAATTACAATTCACCTTTTCGTTATGCACGGAGTTGCCAAGTGTAAGCGCCATTTTGAGAGAAGTGTGATCAGTTTACATTCCCAAATGCTCTTCACCCGGGCTACGAGAGCGCACTGATTCCTGACGTTTAGAGTCGTTCACTAGTTATTCCACCATTTAGAATATTGGTCTTACTGAATACCACATTCATCTAGCGAATACATAAGCAAATATAATATTTCAAGTTTAGCTACCGTTTTGAGCTGAAAATGCTGACTTCTTTATCGCGTTTGCGATGGCGGCTGAATACAGAGCCCGCCAAATAATAAGGTGAAAAGGTTTTCATTATCCTCCACTTTTCTTTCCACCGTCTAACGAATGATCACATAACGAGCAATAGTTACTGCTAGAGTGCGTTCAGGTTTCAGGTGGCCCTACGTCATAGATTGAACTGTGACCTCTCGGTACAATTATATGCTATAGCCTAAAATTTCCATTAAACAATTTAGGCGAAGACATCACACATTATTTAGACTAAAGATTAAAAAACAAGATCTAGTTCTTTTTATTTTAAATGATTTCGAAATCGCAGGATCCACACCAAAAACTGCCTCGCGAATGCTCTCAAAGTTAACTATCTACACTGTAATAATAACTAAAAGACGTTGGCATTCCTACACTAATTTGCCATTTGAATCGACTTCACAATTAAAGGTAGGCTCTTAATAACATTGTCGCGGACCAATGACGTCGAAAGTCATCTAAGTGTATTGAAAGTGCAGGGGAAAGTTTGTAATAATTAGTTTGAAATAATAGCAAAATTGTGAGTCTTTACCCTTTGTAGCAGAAAAGACAAAATGCATTGGTATAGAGTGGCCACAAAACTGGCAGGTTCGGTCAGCATTAATACGCAAAATCTATGAGTAGTTTAACTACAAAGATGGCATTAAAAAGTCGCGATTCTTAAATAAAGATTAATTAAATGTGTTCTGATAATTAAAAAGTATCAAATTCTCTCGGTTAGACTACTTCACTGAACTTGACTGCTCTGTGCTTCACATATTGAGCCATTAAAATTCACCTCTGAAATTAGTACCTTTCAGTCAGGAGCAACCACTTGCTTAGCGGAAGCCAAATGCTTTAAGCACCCAAAAAAGTCGTTATTCTAAAATTTGAGAACCCTAGAAGTTATATGTGAGATGCACTGTAGAACGTAGCACTTGAAATTTGCAAGAATCTGTACCCTTTCCTACGTCCACTTAGTAGGAATTACCTGCAAGTGCAAAAAAGTGGTTACAGTTAAGTGTTTCAAAAAAATGTAAACCAGGTCAGTTATTTGTGTAGAATGGAAGTATTTTGTTGCGCCCGAAATCAGATTTTGACATCGTAATGGCAAGATAAACAAAATGGCGTTAATTTTTCTTTATAATATGAGAAAATAGAGCGCAGCATTTACTAATGTTATCAAGTATAATCATTTATTACTACCTACAATTATTACATTGTTTAAATGCATTGAAACGTTTAAAACATGCACAAGTGCTTAACTTGTACTTAAGTGCATCCGCCGCATCCTCCATGTCTGAGCTCGGTGAGTGCGCTTAACATCTCTTAGGTCGCTGTATCCTTTTATCGATGCTAATTTCAACTCAGGAGTTCTACCTCAGGTCTTAGACGGCTGATTTTCATGTTTGTTTCACAATAATATCGCATCTTCTGGGGTCCTTTTTGCAAGGCTTATTATTTTACTTAAATTAAATGTCTAGTCCTTTTTCATTATAGACAGTCCTGGTCTAATATTAATTGTCTTTGCTTGGATACTCAAATAGTTTGGGGGCGAGTAATCTTGTCGTGATTGCACGCAGACATACTGTTGTGTCCATTCCTTTGAACTCGATAACTATTGGCGTTGTTTATGAACGAGTTGTTTAGGTTACTAATTTAGAAATAAAGATGCTGATGTCTAGAAGAGTAACTAGAATGGCCACTTAAACTGATTAATAGATCAAATTATTTTCGGTCGTATTCTGTGTGCTTTTTAATTGTAGAAGAGTCAGGAACTGTTACCACTGCAGTCCGCGTTCGACCGTTTTCCCAAAGGTTTGCCCTACACTTCTATTATTATTTATTCTAGCGAGATCGGTTCGAAGGATAACTACACTGCGGTAGACTGCCCCGAATTCGGCAAAGTCAGATGTTCGAAGAAAGGCCTGCATGCAACAGTATTTTCTGTGGATCACACATTTTGTTGCTTTGCTGGAGATGTAATTGAAACTGAAAAGGGAAGTCAACAGGAAGTGTATATGGCTCTGGGGTTGCCTTTATTAAACAAGGCTCTTGCTGGATACAATGCGTGTTTGCTTGCCTATGGTGTTACGTCCTCCGGAAAAACGTATAGGTAAATCTCGGTGGCTTACTAAACCAAGTTAGTATGTATGGGACGGTTGATGATCCTGGCATTGTTCCACGAATTGTGGAGGATTTGTTTGCTCACATCGATGTAGAAAGGGTAAGCATATTTTTGACACCTTTTTGCGATTTTAGGGAACGAACGTTTCGACGACAGTCCATTTCAGTTATTATGAAATTTACAACGAGAAAATCAACGATCTTTTACAGGACAAGAGGAATCCATCCCAAGTAAGGTCTCATTGTTGTCCATTTGTTGTAAATTATGTGCACACAGCTTGTTTTGTCCATTTCGCTTGTGTACCGGGTTACTCCCTTACCGCAGTTGACAGTTCGTGAGCATCCGGTGACAGGACCTTTTGTGGAAGGCCTCATCCAACCAGCGGTTCACTCCTCTGAGGAAATGTTCGCCTGGCTTCGGCAGGGCGATGCGCGTCGCAGCGTAGCATCAACTGAGATGAACGCTCGCAGCTCTCGATCACACACAATTGCCTCCTTCATCATTCGGCGTGAAGTAGTAAGACGGCTTTCGCTACCTAATTGCTGTCTAAGGCTTGTGTTAATTTTCATCGTTGGTGCTTTTTGTGCGGCTGTTATTTACCAATATCTTTTCCGGTATTTTTGAAGACCTTTTTGCAGTCCTGATAACGTTTCACATCTTAAACGTTATCTTGCGAATTAGAATAGCACCCAAAATACGTATTAGTTTGGTGAGTCAATCTCATTGTATGGAGCATTGCGGTGCTGTTTCTTCCATTTATTTGTAGCATATTTCTTTCATGAGCATATTTTAACGCATAATTTTAGGTGAGATTTACGAAGAAGGGGACTGTGGAGAATGCCTACACAAGCAAGTTAACTTTAGTCGACTTAGCAGGCAGTGAACGTCAGTCTTCGTCTAACGGCATAAGTGAACGATTGATGGTGGGTTTTCATTTGTCAATTTTACTTGTTGACTATTATTTAATTCTCCTTTTAAGGAGACGTGTCAGATAAACAAGTCGTTGTTTGTTCTGGGAAGGGTCATATCCCAGCTGAGTGGTGACACGCAGACGAAGACCGTTTTCCGCTCAACCGAACGTCCAAGTCGTAAGCGACCCAAGTTGGAATTCGAGGGGACCTCGCCACTGCTTACACCCCAAACATTGGTAAAGCGCAAAAATAATACATTCGTGTCCTATCGTGACTCTCTTCTCACTTGGTATGCTCTTGCCTTTTATCTCTTCTATGTGTTTGTTTACTCAGTTTATTTCTAATAAGGTAGCAACATTGCCTGTTTTATACTTTTATAATTTATTGAGTGTTACTGTATTAATTAAAGGCTATTGAAGGACAGTCTTGGTGGTAATTCGGTCACTACTATGCTGGCGACGGTGTCTCCCTCTTCACTCCATATTGACGATACGCTTTCGACTTTACACTATGCTAGGCGCGTCCAGTGCATAGTCAACAAGGCTGTGGTAAACGAAGACCCCGAAGGACGCATTATTCGAGGTATGCTTGTCTACTTCTTAGTACCCACCCATTCCTGGTATCCATGTGACGACCGCTTGATAAGAAATCCCTGAAAACGAGATTTGATAAGTAGCACCCGAATGGGCATTTTTTAAAAAGGTAAAAGAAGTGTAGATTACTTATGATGGTGTGATGATTCCTCATCTTTTTCCGGGATTTCTGAGGTATCGCTCTGATATCATACCTTCGCAGAATTAATGTCTGAAGTTGAAAAACTCCGAAGACGTCTTGACGAATCTGCAAAGTCCAGCAGTCCTCTGACTGGACAAGTTCGCACACTCAAACGTTTGCTCTTGGCCAGAGAGGAGGAAATTGCTCAACTTACTAGGTAATTTTCGTGAATATGATGCTTTTACGCTAGGGCAAAGCTAACACCTTGCTCTAACTTTTACAGCGAATTGGCTAAGCGCACTATAGCCTGTGCACGGCTCCAGGCCGGAGCCTTACAGGCTTCGTCGGAAACCACATCTCCGTGTCTTTATGTTGGTGATCTCTGCACAAAAGACCTATGGTATAGTTTACCAGGTTTTCAATTATTTAGAAGTGAAGATGAACTTGTTCATCTTGCTACTTTTGTTCCACACTTTTAGTGAGATACCTATGAAGCGCCTTAAGTCGAATCTGTGTCCTGAGGGTACAGGCGGCAACACTCTTTCTACTATCCGTCGTGTGGCACCCGATGGTGCAGAAAAAAGTGAATCCACCGTGCGGACAGATGCTCCCAATTGTAATGGCGACCCGAATCCCTCTGGAATCCAACTCGCGGAGTTCCCCGGCTCCATCGACGTTGTTGAGTCGAGTGCAGTTATACCAAGAGAAGACGTGTCAACTAACACGATTGAAGATGTAACAGTAATTCCTCTAAGTGATCTGGAAAAAATGCAGTCTGATTTGCGATTCTTAACTAAGGCACTGTCTGCATACCAAAATGTGCAAACGGCAGATGCGTCTCTTGGTGTCTGTGAACAGACTTTCGGTCTTAGTGTTTTGCCGTCTGAAGACTTGTCACTTATGAGGGCAGCGATCAAGCGGAAGCTGGAAGTTGCCAAGTGTGAGGCCGAAACTAACACCGATGAACTGGTAAAGGTACTGCCAAAGTTTTGTAAAATGAATAAACGAAATCTTTCCCTGAATTCCCCACTTAAAACCCTTTTATCTGTTTTTTAGTACGATGTGGCGACATCTGATGATCCTAGCTATCAAATCCTCCCTCGAACTTCACTTGACCAGGTTATTGGGGGCGTGGGGAATCGTCGTTCGGTAGTGGAGAGTAAAGCATATGTCGATTCCACTACCTTAACAGATGACTATGAACTCGGTGTTACATATATTTCGTTAAATTTCTTCAATGAACTTTACGAAAGGCAGCATCTGCTTCGATTAAAATTGAGTTCTCAAGAGCCCAAGCCAAAATCGGACGCAAATGTCACCACTGATCTCGATGTCATGGTTCTTTCCGAAAAGGACTACAAAGAATTACATTGCCAAATTGAAAAATTAAAAGCAAAACTTAGTAGATGCGAGGCTGTTGGTGAAGACAAAGAAACGAGCACCCATAATGACGATGTGGCTGTTGACGACTTCGCTGTCGAACGAACGAGCAAAGATATGAATGAGTCGGAGCGTGAGTTTAATAGGTGCGAAAGTGCGAACCCGACGGATAATCTGACTAGCGATGCTTGTGTAGCTGCTGCTGGGAATGCTTCGTCAAGCCACTTGTCGAGGGAAGCCATTACGAAGGATTATGTGCACAGTCGGGTAAATTTCTTCGAAAATCTCAACCGGAGTCAAGTGATTTGCAGCGAATACCTTCCACAGGCTTCAAAGGAAGGCACATTCATGTGCGGATCCAACATAGTGAAGCAGCCGAATGATGAACTCCTAGCTAATGAGGTTGTTACTAATTATTTTCGGTTAAATAGGCGTTTTCTACCTTTTCATCAATTTTGCTTCGTTATTAGGATCTGAAACAAAACGTGAAACTTTTACAATACCAAGTGGAATCACAGCGTTGGGAAATCCAGTATCTCGAGAAGGTAGCGGATTTGTTTGGTCAAAAAAAGGATTCAAGAAGTTCTCTAACAAATTTTCTTTTTGCAGCTGAATAAGCGGTTGACGAATGAGCGTAATATGGTGGCCAAAGTGTTAAAGAACGTGTTTCAGGAACGCAGAAGCAATGCGGTGGATATGTTGGCTCTCTTTGATGAAGTGTTAGGGTCGATTCCTCAAGTATCGGAGGAGTTCCGTCGGGAAATGGAGTCTATTTTGGAGCAGTTTGGCTGTGATACGAACAAACCGCTCATCTAACCGGTATACATTGTTTTATCAACCAGTCCATACAGTTATTTGCGAATTGCCAGGCTGTTACTACTAGAGTTTATTTTATGTTTGACCCTCTGTACCCTGCAATAGCAACATTTGTACATCTTTCGAACTTAGTGGGGGTGACATTGGGTGCTATGACTGATAGATTCCGAAAACGTTGGCGGTTGCGACGATGCTACCGTTGCAAAAATCGTACGAAACACAGGTATCCAGCGCAGGTTCCCACAGGCAGCGGCTGCTTGAGTAGAAATTGGGGTCACTGACGCTGCTGAGGGTTGCTTGTGTAATTATTTTGTAGCGCTTCAACTGCAGCGACTTAACACGGGCTTTCAAAACCTGAAGGAAAGCATGCCTATTAGAAGTAGACTAGTGAATTGTAAAACTTGTGGGCTTTACGTACGTCCGTCATCCTTCTTGAAGCCTGCCGACAGAATTCGGGTTCATATTCGCGTCCAAGAAGGAGCCCGTCCACAACCTCCTTAACTATCTTTGCGACAATGGCTTTGGGGAATTTTACGTCAGGTTCAAGTTGGTACGTGCTATAGGTGCTTCTCGGAGTGGCCATATGGTTTGGGACGTCACAATGAGTAATTGTGAAGAGTGACCTGCAATATTTGGTGCAAACAGACTTACGAATGTCCGGTTTCTGCTTTCGATTTGGTAAAGGTTCCAGACTGTGCATTTATTTTCCCGTGAACAAGGGCAACTTCTGAGGCCATCCTATGCAGAACCTGTGAATTTTTGGTTTTAACACACGGGATAAAGGTCGGGGTCGGGTGATATCGTGAGTGAGCACTTAAACGAATTTACAGGCAGCAGCCTTACATGATAAGACGGCTTCAAAAACATGCTGTCCAGCAAAAAAAACACACAAAATGTAATTTTTCGCAATCTCTGACTTGAGGGTATATATTAATGAATTTACCAGGGAAAAATTACAAGACAAAGAGTTGAATTGAAAATGCCCAAACTATCTACATGCGCGTTTTCTGTTGGTTTTGATGGCGCAACAATGAGTTCTTATAAATTTATTAGTTGTTTGCGCTTCAAAAATAAGAGAAACCGCATTCTAATTACTTCTTTAAAATTGTCACAGTCCAAAAATTTTTTGTATTTTAATTTTGTCGTAATTACTGCCTAAAAGGGTAAAGGCGAAAAAACTGAAAAATAATGCTTGGTCGTTTGGTATTTTCACAAAAAACTCGCAGTCGCCTATTTAACTAACTCCATTTTAAAAGTAATCAAACTGTTAAGCAGAAAACAACTCTTGTTTAGATTGCTTGCTTTTTGGTTTTGATCCGCAGTAAATTTCTTCTAATTAGTGAAATCGTTTTATCAAACTTCATTGTTTTAACACACCAACTTGCTCCTGCGGCCGACGTTTTTTCGAAGCCGCTCTTCTGTTTCGTAGTGGTTTTCTTTTGTGCATTTGGCTGTCTGCATCTTATGTCTTAATAGTTTTGTCTTTAATGACCTCCTAAATATGGATAGCAGTGTTCGCTCAGTCAAACTATCTATCCAGGAGTCTGACGTGCTCAAACTGATTTTGGAGTTTCTTCAAAAAAGGGATTTCGCCTTCTCCCAAATTGCCTTAGAAAGGGAGTCGGGTGTTGTCAATGGTTCATATAACGAAGATATTTTATTTTTCAGACAACTTGTTCTCCAAGGCCATGTAATTTCTTGATCGTTCAATTTTATCTTGATTAGAATCTCTTGTAACCCCAAGTAGCTTTTTTGCATTTATTACATCAGATATTACTAATAGTCATCCAGTTAACGGAATCATTTATTATACACTTTAGTGGGACGATGCTTTGGAATATCTGAAACCTTTGAAAGACCCTCCCCTTCAATTAGATTTAAGGCCTGCCCGATTCCTAATCCTAAAACAGAAATTCCTCGAATTGCTCTGCCTGCGAGACAATACTCTTGTCGAAGATCCTGATACTCCTCAGGAAAATTGCGCTCAATCTGGATGTGATCTTGCGATTGACCAAGTATTTTGCTTTTTTACCCTGCCAGTTTCAATTTTCTTTTAAGTTTAACTAGGAATGCTTCGATTTTCACCTTGCTTGATTGGATATTCATGTGCTATCCTAATTTTTCGTTCACAAAGCGTTGGGACTATTTTTCATTCTTTTTGGAAGACACCTCCGTATCATTTTAGGTTTTGGCTTGTCTAAACGAGCTGGAGCCCGAGTGTCCGTCGCAGGCGGAGTACAACTCCTTGGCGCTCCTCTTAACATTGCCACAGCTTGACCGTCATCCCGATTACCGCGATTGGAATCCCAGTCTCGGTCGTCTGCGTTGCTTTAAGCAGGTTTGTCCACTTTCCCTCTGCGTCTACCTCCCTAGAGGCCTGATTTTACACCCACAATTACTCATGTGATGTATGGAGCTCCGTTTGAAACCGTATTTTACTCAATTTCGACAGTTAGAAATGTCAAGTGGTTGGATTACAATGTGGCTTTTTTGTTCTTTTTACACTATCATCTGCTTCACCCTAAATTTAAAGGATGAAGTGATGGATAAAGTTGCCCATTACTCTTTGTACCATTTATGATTTTCTGGTATCTAATTGAATGCTTTTATTATCGCCATCTCTCTGTATAACTTACTTCTACTTGACTGGCTCATAGCTTTTATTTACGTGATCTGTTTTGCCAACCTTTGTATGAAGTTAAGGCTTAATTTTTTTTAATTTGAAGCATTTGTTGGGTTTGTTTGCTTACATGTCCCACATAAATATTGTGCTCATAAAGTCTTCCTTTCACATTAGTTGCAAATATATTACCAATATTTGGGCTCAATGAATGGCATTCGGTTGTGCTTGTATGGAGTTTATCAAAATCGTTTGTTTTGTAGGGATAGAGAAAGAAAACTATTCTATGGCTTATTGGTGAATGAGATTTGCCAAATCACGCTCTAGTAGTAAATTATTTTCCTCCGATTCATTTGACGTAATTGCTTAGTTAAGTCTCGTTTACACTTGTCTTTTTTAGTCGTCTGAATAGTTCAGTTGGCATTTAACAAGATACTATTATTGAATTTAACAGTCGGGTCGACTAGGAGTTTTAGGGTTTGCCTGATTATGCACGCATTGCTTAAAGTAGGCATTCGCTGTTCCATGCTTAGGATGTCACAGTGCATACTGTTTTGGTTTAGCCCTGAAATATCATATTTCTGAATGTCTGTTTGTGCACTTCTACTTCGCCTTGGAATATGGTGTCATACTGCGTCCTACTTTATGAAAGGACACTCTTGACTCCCTTCTTTGCCCTGCATCCATATGATTCTTTTGCCGCGTGACCGGACTTCATATTCTAACGTCAAGGCCTTGATAATGGGTTCGCAGAAGTGCGTTTTAAATTATCCTTTTTATTTTGCATTCTGTTATCGATACCGAATGACGGCCTTGTTTGCGCACTTCATCCTTGCTACCAACACTGTTTAAGCATCGCTGTACTCAATGGAACACTTTTTGGATTTTGGCTTATGAAGTCCATTTACGCTTCAGGTGTTGTGCTTCGTATGGAAATACCTTGTATTAGCGAATTTTTTGTTCTCTTAACGAGTTAAACGTACATTTAATATGGGGTGATAATGCTATCAAAACTTAATTATGGTGATATTCATAATAAGTTGTAGTTGCACTCATGTGCTTGTACCACTTGCCAAGTTTGGACCCCGCTAAGTGGACGTGAAGAAGCATTGACTACCTTACAGGCCTTTATGCCATTCGTTTGAAATCCTGAGGTAATTTGTATCTCTTCATTTCTGACATTTCCTTAGACATTCAATGTTTGCCAAATGCCTGTGCTTTTCAACTATCCTTCCACAAAACTCATTTTCTTCGCAACATAATATCGCTTGGTCCTTTTGTTCACCAGCTTTATCCTATACTCACACCACTGGTGCAACAGTTGAATGGCGTCAGCTCCTGTGAGGTCTTGGGTCAATCGAGAGGAGACCGCTTGCTGCACTTGCTCATTAAGGGGATACTCTACGAGGCCTGTGAGGATTTCTGCGCTGCCATGGCCACCGAAAGCAATGCCCAAATGCAACTTAATGGCCTCATTTGTGGTAGGTTTTACTCACACTTGCGGCTGCTTCTCAGATTCATTGTGGTTATCCGTGGCCACGCCGTAACTCCAACGCATGCCCATTTCACAATTTTCTTGCAGTATACAAATATGAATATCCGCGGCTGCTACTAAACCCCATCCGTTTCATGTCACCTTTGTCTGATCTTTACATAATCTTATTCGCCAAGTTATGTGCCATTGTGTAACAAAGTGACCGATTGTAGTAGCTATATGATGCTTCATGAAGATTTACGTTGAAATGCGGCTGTTTCGCCTAGTCTTATTATCATCTTATCGGTTTTGTCACTTGAAATGCTTTATTCTTTTATCGGTTTTTTACTATAAATGGATTTGATTTTGTTCTTTAAAAGTTGTTACGAAGAGAATGAACTTTTTTACCTCCACTGAATTTCAAACAACCTAGTGGAGAGTGTTCCAAAATATTTTGGTGCCTGCATGCAGTGGTCGTGTCCGAACCTTCAACTTCTTTGAATGGCGCTTTCCCCGGAGGTCGGGAAAGGTGACGCTTCTATACCTTGCTATGCACCACTTTGCAAGCGGTGTACAATTAAAACGTTTCTGCCGATTCAGATCCTCTGCGTACTAACATTTCCTTATGTTGGTGCAAACAAATTGGCGTTCAACCGGAGAAACCTATTAAAGTTAATTTTATGGCGTCGGCCATGTGTAAACACGAGCCTCTGACCGTCTCATCATCAGCACTATCATAGTGCTGTGTTACTCTCGTACTTGATGCAGTCCCATGTTCCGATTGGTTTGGTGCTGTGTGAGACGATTAAATTCAGTGTGATGGTGCTACGTTCCCTTGCTGGCACTCTAGTTTTATACATCCATTTGTGTAATTGTGTGGCAATCCTAACTCCTTGTAGATTGATTCTAGTGTACTCTTCTCTCTGGTGCTTTGAAAAACACCCCACTGCTAATCTCTTCTCATCCAAGGATTAATATTTAATTGAATAAAAGAATTACTAATAGCAATGTTTCATTCTGCAGTGTGTCTTAATGTTTGGCTTGTGAGCATGTGATAAAACGTTTTTGGGTCTGTACACTTTGTGCGCATGTTTTGCTCGGAATCTTTTTCGCCTAAACACTTGCTGTAATCATTTCCCTGTTATGTGGTTATGACACGTGCAGAGGATTTCCGCAATTCGTCACTTGCCTCACTTGTTAATTTTGGGATTCTTTTTCCTCTATCGCTGCTATTAAATTTCCGTTCTATGAGAAGTTGCAATTTATGAGAGGTTGTACAGTAAGTTATCTTGACTGGGCGCCCTTCTCACCTCAGTATTATTTGCAATTAATTGTAGGATCTGGCATTTACTGTCTCTCAAACATTAGGAAAGCCTATCAATGTCCTCATGTGACTCACTTTCTCGTGGTGCCAATTTTCGTTTCAAATTAGTTTGAGGGATTTTAATGTCAGATGGATTTTAACACCTATTAAAAAAATTTATTTCCATTAGTGTTATCTCGACGTTTTATTCATGGCTTTTAAAATGGCTCCACTTAATTGTTCGTATTCAACGGCCTTTTGGCTAATTTAATGAACAATTTTGATTTAATTTTTTATCAAGTCCTGCTTGGTTGAAATCGTTTACACTACCTGACCACTGGGCATTTCATCCATCCATTATGGCTTTTAAATACTAGTGTTATTCTCATGTGTTAATATTTCACATAAGTGCAGTTATTTTAGCACTGATTCACGTATGGGGTTTATGGTCACAGAAGGGGGGTGATCGTATCTACGACACTTTGTCAGTCGTGTTATTATCCAACCTCCTAGATGAATCACTCGATGATGATACCAGTAGCCCCCTGGTGGAGCAGTCGGCACGATACAACCCAATTTACTCAATTGAACCGCCTGATCTTTCACTGAACTCCTGGCTCCAGTCCCTTCCCCAGTCCGCCTTCATCCAACCTTTTGAGTCCTGCCAACTCTGTCTGGCTATCCACCGGCTGCAGAAGCCCTCCCAGGAGGCGGGTTTGTGGGTCGACCAGATTTTGCGTGAACCCAGCGTGAAACCTCTTGTCTTCCCCTACACTCATCTGCCCTCCTCCGCCTCCTCCATCTCGCATAGCATCTTTCGCTCCTCCGTCCGACCTACGCTTGCACGGAGCTTTCTACAAGGTGGCCTGGGCAAACCCCGCACCCTTCTTGGCATGGCTGCCAGCTCCTTGGTTTCTGGCACTGGGGTAAACTTAAAATCTGCTCTTTTTCTCGCATCAAATCGACCCTAAATCTGAGTTCTTTTGAATTCCTAGGGGCTATTTGCTTAATAATTCATCTGTTTCGTCGTGTCCGTACTGGATTTTGTCATTGCAATGTAATTCGAAGCCATAGTATCATCTGACGTAATTTTTTTACGTTCCCGGACTTTTCTGCTTTGCAGTGCCTAAAATTAGTTGGGACCCAATCCAGCTTAACTTTTGATCCTGTTCCATTCTATCGGTCATTTACTCTGGTGAACACTCTTCATCGACAAAGTCTTGCTTCATCATCGGTTTTATCGGGCTCTTTGCTGCTACGTCACTTCGATTTTTACAAGTATTCATACAGATATCTTTTTCTATGTAATCCAAAAGCTACTGTAAAGTAATATGTGCTATTATTATAAAATTAAAGGTTGTAGTTTAGGCCTTTCCCTAATTTTTTAAACCCGCATATTTCTGCAACTTACAATTGCCCTTTTTTAATTAGGCATTTAGCATGAATGGGATAATATCGCCTGATTTTGGCTCTTTTTGACTCGCAGATTCTATCACAATTTTAAATGAGTTCGATATTTATCACGAAAGGATAAAATCATCACTCATCACATGACCGTGTAATGTTTTGACGTCACTTTGACATAGGAAACAGCATCGAGTAAATGCTGATATGAACCATTACAGCTGGCGTCTTACTTCTTCTACATTACGTATCTACCTAATATAAAGTATTTGTTTTTTGCACTTTCGATTCGGTCACTATGATTATGTGGGGTAGAAATTGAGGTGCAATATTTTACCAAAAACTTGTTTTATTCCCTAATCTTAGACACAGTTGATGAGTCAGTCAATAGGCAGTTACCACTTGTCCAGCGGAGATGGCACGGCAAGACCGCGCACCGCAACGGGTGCCTACCGCAGTTCAGTGATGCAGCAGTCTATTGATCGCCTCTTAGCCACCCGCGGCTCCGTGGCCCCGAGCAGCTCCGTCTCTGTTGGGAGTGTGGAGAGGACGGCAGATTGCATGCTCCGCTCTATCCCTGAGAGTGGCTGTACCCACACTGGCACTGCGGTAGGCAGCGAGATGGGTAGCAGTATGAACACCTCCGCTATCACTGATCCCGATGCTCCCGCTTCCGGTTGGTCTATTGATGTACTAACTTTTTACCATTCCTGCGTAAAAATCGCATCATGTTAGTTTTGTGCATTTTCGAGATTCATGTATAAATTCGGTACTTTGTGTGATTGTTATAGATCCGTACTAGTTGTGATATCTTCTGTCAACCAGTTCATCGCATCAGTTTACGAATAAAACAGTCTCAGAAGTGGTTCTCGATGGACATTAGGCTTCTATTATGCCATTTTCTACTTTAATTGTTTGACAGTGGCGAATGCGAACTGTGGCCTTTTCCATGAGTTCCAAAAACGCCAATCCGAGATGACGGCATCTGTCACCGTGGGACAATCGGTAAGCTGGCCACTCTCTTAATTGTTTATGCATTTTTTTTCAAGTTAATTTACAGTAATACAGTAGAAATGTATGCATCATTCAGGTTTATTGAATTCTGTTCGAGTTGTTACGATTCCTTTTGCTTAACCTAGTTCCTTTCTATTACAAGCTCATCTCTTCTTTTAAAAATTGCCTTGACTATGAAGTTTCATTTTAATCGCTTATTGCTTAAGTGGATATTTCGCTTGACCTCATTTTCTGATCATTTTATTACATATTTTTCCCCTGACACCTGTAGCAGTCGAAATTGAATCATGGTGATCGTGCCTTGTCGACTATACCGAGTGTGTCAACGGAGACCCCGACTGTGAGAGTTCGTTGTTCAGGCTCCACGGAGAGGGAGAAGAACGATGAACCACCGCCTCAGTACCTCCCTATCACGGTGCTGGAGGATACCCAACCCATTCGGTCGATTGCGTTCCATCCCTTGGGCACCTTCTATGCCGTCGGCTCCAACTCAAAAACCCTTCGAGTGTGCCGCTTTCCTGATATTAGTTCTTTGCGGTGAGTCTCTATCTCCTCATTAGCAGGGAGCTGACAGCTGCTTTTCAAAATGCGTTTGATACAACAAACTCGAGCCCTTCTATTTATTATAATTTTCTTAAAAAATTTGTTCATTTCAACCCACGTGCTTAATTGCATCAAGAATAGCCTGATGACCATAAAACCCTTCTTTTTCTTCTACTTCATTGGAGCTCCTCCAATATTCTTTCTTCATGATTTGAAATATGTGCCAGGATCATTGTCCTTATATGTCTCCAGGATACACTCTAATTGTTTGCTTCTGTGACCTGAATAATTTTGAAGTTGTTTACCCTTCTCTCTTTTCTTTCGCCCTCGAATAAATTTTTCTGCTTTCTCATCAAGAGTTCCCTTGGATCAACAAGGCCTAAAAGTGGCAACGATGACATTTTTGACGCTAGTAGGCTCATTAAAATATTGCCGGCAATCATGTCACTGATATTTCAATAGACATGATGCCTTTTCTGGGATTCGCTTCTGTTAGCTTCACATGGGCCCAGTACCCAAGTCTTCGTGTCATCCCTTTTAGCATGACCGTACTTTCCGGTCGATTGTGAGTTACTGGGGAGTTTCGAGACATGGCCTTAAATCGCAGTGTGTAGGTGGAACTAGTTTGGAATCAGTGCTCTGAGGCGGAAGAAGAAAGGTGGGATTGATTCGCAGTGGATGTGAATGAATTCAAATCGTGCACTGGGTCAGATTAGTATAAGCATTAGCATTCGTAGGTCTTAAAAGTACTTAGCGTAGTATCGGTAAAGAGGTATTTCCAGTATCACTAGTGTAGCTACACATTCACCTAACATTGGTGTAGATACCATCTAACACAATTCAAATGTCCACATTTGTACATTCATCAATGATAAATAGCTGGTTTTCTCATCTCGCTCCTGAGAGCTGCATTCGAGTTAGCTTCTTCAACATCTATAAACGTAGGCCCAACTACGAGGCCACAAATCCGGCAATAGTGATGCAGCGGCACAAGTACCACCGTGGGAGTATCTACTGTTCCTCGTGGAGCAGAGACGGTCGCATCATCGCCACCGGCAGCAACGATACGGCCGTTCACCTCCTTCGTGTGAATCCCGAGACCGGGGCTCCTATAGACGATATCCCTGACAGCTTCATTCAACTCACCCATCATGATGGAACCGTGCGTGACGTGGTTTTCATGGTAGGCCATTTTTTACCTTCAAATATCCCCTCTCCACTTCTAAGTGGAGTAGTTGTGCTTTTTGGCCTTTTTTTGTCATTTATGACGTCTACCAGAGCTGAATTTCGTAATTAGTTCCCTTTTTCCATTAGAATCTTACATTGACTAGTTATACCATTGTAGTATTGCTGGAAGACATAAGCAGGCCTCGAATTAAGGGATGGCTTTGTTGCAACAAAACGAGCATCAGATGCACTGACCAATACTGGAGCAAATTTACTGAAGCAAACTGAAGCATCGTTCATTGGTTAAATGGTCATCGCTCTACGTGTTCATACCTGGGTTTACAAGGGCAGCTGATTAGAACCACGATAACCCTTCTACCATATCCCTCCTTATTGCATCCTCATGAAGTCCGCCTATAGTAGGGGAGGCCAAAGCTACCAAGGCCAGCTTGGACATATCCAAAATTGATCAGAATTGTGTCTGAGTCATAGCTAATCAGCACGGTAGCCATTAATCAGGAACCACTTAAATACTGCCTATTCATGCAGGTAACTTCCTGATCGTTCTACCATATACGATCCTCCCCTAAGCTCGAGGATCCCACTTAGCCGTCTCAAGCGAGTACACAGTCAACGGCCATGTGCGCTTGTGGCGCAGCCGCCCATATGCTTGACCATCTTAGCACTCCGTTCTTTAGATGACTTCCTACTCAGAGGGTAGTGGTAGCCCATCAGGTAACGGCCACTCAGCTCTGTTGTCTTGTGCACCGGGCCACCTGCTGACGGCGGGGGCAGGCGACTGTCGGATCTACGTGATCGACGTGGAGCGTGCGGGTATGCTGGCGTCAGGGTCAGGTTTAGGTGGCAGTAGTTGCCTACGTCTGAAGTCCTCCTCTGCGGCCACAGTGCGCGCGCTCTCCGGCCATTCAGCTACCGTCTTTGCCCTCACTGTCTGGGCGCCTGGTTCGCTTTTCGTTTCTGCTTCCGCTGATGCTACTGCCCGGCTTTGGGACATTCGAGCTTCCGCTCCTGTTCTCATCATCCCCTCCTATTCCGGTGTTCAAGGTAATACTCTTCTTCATACCTAGTATTTTCCACCTCACCAAATCATTATTCCTTTAATTTCCCAGCTTACGTCTTGTGCAGGATTGGTGTATTTTGCCATAGTTAACCTGAAGGCGTAAGGTATTTAAGTCAGGAGATAACCATGAGATTGGTGATAGAGCTCTATGCCACCGAAAATTAGGAGACTCAAAGGCTTATTTAGTATCGTTTGCAACTGAGATATGTAATTCTGCTACAGATGGTTTAATCCCATTTTGTAATATCTTGGCTTCATTTAGCAACATTCATAGTACCTTTTTTGCCGTTTCTTCTTATGCCTTTTTTCAGCCATGGCGTTTTTCATACTGCACCTTCGAGCTTCTTTGCAAACCTGCTCTCTAGTATTTGCCTTCAGAAATAGTGCTGAATTCTAACAGGCCGTTTCAGATTTCTTCAATATTCGCGTCAGCTATGCTTGATCCATTACCTTTCCTCCTAAACCCATTTTCAATTACACCAATTTTTGATGTATTTTTAATGTTGCTTGCTTGTCTATTGCATTGCGAATTTCACGTCTGCAATTGATTCATTCGTGTCACCACTTCTTACCCTTAATGGCGCGACTACCCTTGATTTATTTTGGCTAAGTCCTGATGTCATTTGGCATTAAAGTGTCGCACATGACAATTGCTAGCCTACTACCAGTCATCTACTAAACGTATGCGGGTGCCTCGTTTACAAATTACAATTTGGGAATAGAATACAAAGCTTTGCAGTACGATGGCAAAGGGAAGTGTTTTTAACATTCACAGCACATGGATTGTAGGAAGTCCCTTTGCATCAGTGAGCATGGAGGCAAGTGGAAATGTGTTGGCAAGCGGTCACGAGGATGCTACCATCTCCCTCTTCGACGTCCGCGGCGCACGCTACATCAGTGCCTACCGACCGCACTCCAACGAGATTCGCTCTGTCCGCTTCGCTCCTAATGACTACTACCTGCTTTCCGCCAGCTACGACAAACGTGTTGTGGTCACTGACCTCCACGGTGAGGCTCATTTTCCGCGTCATTTGTCGTATCTTTTCTGTTTTATTCATGATGCAGGAAACAACGCTTCCCCCAACTCTCTTTGCTTTGCCTTATCTCTTTTCGACCGTGCCAGGAGTGGGTAAGCTGTCCTTTTGGGATTCGGTTATAACCCTTTCCCCACTGTTATTCATCATAAATTCTGCAGGTGGGATGCTTGACTGTTATTAAAATCTACGCAAGGCGGAGCAATCCACACAATAGGAATCCTGTCCCACATTCCCCTCAATTTTTAGTCTCACTAATTTGCTTGTATGTTCGATCACTCGCAGTCAAGTTGGGGAACCGACAGCCAACATTGTTCATGCATAAATCGAACAGCCGAAATGTCATTTTCGTTTGCTGTGGTGGTGAAGTAGGCATCCATATTGCTAATATAGTCAGTCTTTCTTAATGCGTAGGATAAAGCGCTTAATGCTGCATCTCCGCACTTTTGAATTATCCCCTCAAAGTTGTGGTGAAAGAACACGGACGAGTAAAACTACTTCCATTTGCTTCATGCTTTACTGTAGGAGATCTCTCCCAACCACTGCCATGCGTCCAAGTGGCTCAACACAAGGACAAGGTGATTCAAGCGCGTTGGCACCCCGACCAGCTGTCATTTGTTACAACGAGCGCCGATAAATGTTGCATTTGTTGGGCACTCCCGTCCGCCTAGCCCACACTAGCAGCTTAATTCTCCGCCGCATTTAAACAGGCAATCTCCTCAACCCAATGAAATATCATCTCCCCTTTCACCACATTAGAATCATCGCGTTCTGGCTTCCCGATTTACTTTAACTTCTGCCTATTCAAGTGTTACTTCATCATTTCCTTTTACTACAAGTAGTGATTATATTCTGATAGGTTTCCACTAGTAATAGCTTTTACATCGCACTGTCTACACCTTGTTCCTTTTCACCTCATCAAACAGGTCAGGATACCCAAGGTATTGATATAAGGACGCGAATTTGTCTGTCACAAGCGTATTGCCATGTGGACAAATCAAAACATAAAAACTATCTGTATACTGTACAAGACACCAAAGATGTAAACGGTGAAGATAACTGGTCAGTCGTAAAACCAAGGTCGATTAGCATATTCTGCTTCTGATTGCTCCAGATCTGGAGGTTGGGGGATATCCGTAGGCGAAAAGTCCCGGGTGACGATGCGCCTGGATGGGGAAAATGTGTTCGGGCGCTTTCGGAGTGGAGCGTCCACCACGTCATCGTTTGGAAAGACGTCTGAGACGCTGAACGGTACTTCCACGCCCTCACACGATGGCTCTTGTTCAAATTCTCGCCTCCATTTGTTCTCTAAGGCATTCAAGTCTTGCACACAGGAGAAAAGTTTAGTCGTTCCCCCAGAAGAAGCAAGAGACTTGAGGTTCTCGAGGGAAAGGTCTAATTGCGAAAACAAAACGGCCGCCGAAATTCTATTTGCACGCCGCGGGGGACCATCGCAAACTTCGGCTAGGGACGGACAGAGCTCAGGACCAGGTGCGTCGACCCAATGATTGCCTTTATCATCGAAACTGGAAGAATGACCGAAATCGCCGTTTTCCGGAGCCTCAGCTATATCGCAACCGCCATCTCGAGCCAGTAGGACCCTCTTAGCAGATGGTTTGCAATCAAGATCCACAGGATTCTTCCTGCGATTTTTGCCAACTGAAATTTTCAGTTCTCCAGCACCGTTTCCGGGGCTAACTTCGTGATTATGCTTGATTTGGTAGCTCCCGACTTGTAGTCGATCTCCCTTGCAACAGAAGTAGATCTTTGATCGACATCCTATTTTTACTGTCCTAAGGAATGAGCACCAAATACCAAGTATAGGGGGTACCTTTGTTTACGGCGGATGGTGGCGTAGCTTGTGTATGTACCAAAATGATAGCACTCGAATGCGATTGACCTGTAAACTAATTTACCTGCATTCGGATAATCTTTGGGGAACCGAACAGTATTTCGCATAACGTAGTTACTGCCCGTTGCCTTGAATGAGAACCCAGTCAGCCTGATTGTAAATCAAGTACCTTCATAAAGGCGTTCATATGACTCAAAAGATCCTGAAACGAGTCAAAGGATCGATTTCCAAATGTTTGCAGGAATTCCTTGGTCAGGTCAGCCATGACAGGTTCGTCTATAAAATGACCACAGGTAATGCTGATATACCATCGACCCCTGTGGCGACGGCATTAATTGTATCATCACAGCAAGTAACATCTGTTGGTAGAGCCAATTTGGAATTTTCTGTAACAGGTTCTGGGGGGTGATTATGGAGCATATCAAACTTAAGTACTCTCAGAGAACCCCCTGTACTAGACGCCGTAAATTTCGCAGTACAACCGGTGGGAGATTGTCTAGAATGAAATTGTTGTAAAAGGAAACACCAAATTTTGCCTTCTGGATCCACGCCTAATACCAGCTCCATACTTGGCACACGCAAATTGTGCGTGTTTGAAGTCGAAGAGGGTTTTCTCAACTGTGCCTTCACGATGGGGTTGACGAGAAATCTTGAGATACTGAGTCCCTGTTTCCTAAGCAGATAAGGCAAAAAAATGTTTACCACTTCAAAGGTACGCAAAGCCTCGTTAAATCGATTTTGATTCCTAAAACACGTCCCACTAAATATAGACGCAAATAAAAGCGAACAATCCATCCGCAAAAAGGGAAGAGATGTGCGGGATTCACAATTCTTAAACCAATAGCGATTCTGCGATTTGAAGACAGCAAGAAGCCCAATTTTACTGGACACTGTTGGCCATAAAATGTCGAAGCGATGAATTCACTATAGCTTCCAAAGAAATCCCTGGAGTTGTTATCAATAATTAAAAATAGTTAACCGGCCTTACAAGCTGTTCTCAAAAATAAAATTTTTTGTTTAACAATGCAGTTAAAAACTGTTACATGTTTTGCAAAAGGAATCTATAAATAAGCTGGTATTTGGAAAGCTACCAGATTTTTAAAGTGTGCTTAGAGCCCAAGACTTGTGCATTAATAAATGTTTGACCTGTTGGCCAAGTGCAATCAAATTGCAGGTTTTCAGTGTTTCCACATATGGTTAACTGGGATTGGTTTCTGTTTCCACTTTTTCATTTCTTTTTACTTCCTTCGCAGTACCATAGCACGTAATAGAGCAATGTTTTCTCATGGTGCCCAAAGTTTTCTCTGAATTCGTGGCAATAGAAAATACCGTGAGAGAGCACATTACTACTGTAGAGAATGACAGAGATGGCATGTTCTTAGTGCCATGCCGTAGAGTGGAAATACAACCTGTGGAGACTAAGATGCTCGTGCATCCCAATACACACCCAGACAACTATCAAACTCCCCCTTCTATCAAATCCCCATCTCAACTACCCCAATGTTGCCACTATTTCGAAGACCGCCCTCAAACTAGGAACCTCAGCCACTGAATTTACTTACACATGAGAAGACATTTGATCTGTGTCAGTGATTCATCTCGGCAATTCCACTGTATCTGGCGATTCGTCCTATTTGGGAATTGCATAGAGAAGGAGAAACGCACCTGTTTCTCACGACCCAGGGCGAGACAACGTTCTACAGCGAAGGCACCTTGTAAGCAAATCGCTAGCTGTAAGAAAGCTGACAAAAAATAGAGTTACTCAAGAAAAGTCAAGATTTAACATGGTTTCAGGAGGCCAACGTCTTGCTGTTATTTCTATTCGCCATTTTGTTCGCATTTAAGTGTCGCCCAGCTATCTATTTGGGCCTCTTTCGGCTAATGGAGGCGTAAAGGAGGTAGCGCCTGTTTTCCAAATTAACATTTTTTGTATAAATATTGTGGCAGTTCCAGAATGGGCTCTCCAAATGTTTAACCCCTGGTGGCGCTTTGGTCGAGGCTAATCTTAACGAGGAACACGGAACCGAGGTAAATGTTAAAGGTGGGCGCCATATATAGCCCTTCTGTTGAGTGTCTTTACTATTCCATCCATCCACCACGAACGCCCGTCTTCTGTGAAATCAAGGTGTACTATTCAACCGTGAAAATCAAGATATTTGTTCTCTTTGGGTCTATCAACACTGCCCAAAGGCCACACCGAAGAGCAAAAATTTAACCCATGAAAACATAGTTCCCATCTAGTTCAATGCACAAGCATCAATAAGGAACATCGAAACCTGATGCTCTCAGTAGTACTTTTCTGTGCCTTGATTCTGATGTCATCATAGTAATCCGACTTTTCATATTCTGTGTTTAATCACGTGAGCCCCCTGGTCTCTTCACGTTGTACTTTTGCTCGCCAACAGTTTCTGGGCGGTCTAGTGAATCCCCATTTATTCTTACGTAATTAATGTACGTTCATCCAAGCTACTTCACCTTACTGCGACTCCAGCGG